GGGAGCTCCGGTGGATAAAGGCAGGCTTCCATTCATGGCCTCGGCGGCGGCCCCGGTACCGCCCGCCGCGCTCGGCAAGGCCGGACGGGCCCGGTGTGGCCCTTCCGGCCTTGCCGAGCGCGGCGGGCCGTAGCGGGGCCGCCCCCGGGGGAACCGTGAGGGGTTTTGTGCCGCTTTCACGGCCCTTAGTGCTGTTTCTATGGTTTAACAGGCCCGCCTGTGGAAACGACCCTTTCCTAATACCATAAAAACCCCCATTTTATCCATGTGGCGGTTCAAAGGTGTGGCAAAGACTGTGTAATAAACGGGGGGGGTGGGGTGGTAAAGCCCTCATTCCTTAGCACAGTTCAGAGTGGGGGGGGACAGCATCTGATTAGCCAGTTAAATAAATGCACAATAATATGCACAATAAATAAGGCAGAGCTGTGATATTCCTAGCTCCTGTGTAACTTTTTTTCTTCTGCAGACAGTGTCCTCTGGCATTTTTTGTGCATAAGTAGGTAAATAGACTGTAAAAATCAGTAATAGATGCTGTGAAGATTTGGGGAGAAGAGCGGTTTCACAATTAAAACACTGGCAGAGCATCCGCTGTGTCAGAGAAGTGGAATGGACCCCGTGAGGAGCAGAAATACCCGGTCTGTGGAAATGTCCTGCAAAACCTTCTGAAAAATCGAGGCTTTTCTAAATAATACTGTGGCATGAATGGCTCTGCACCCTCCCGGGTCAGATCTTTGACTGAGATTCCCACAGCCACCAGTGAGTTGCTGCTTTCCTGGAAGCAGCTGTTTGTAGAAGAGACTTCTGCTTTTGTTCCTCTGTGGTATCATCAGAAGTTTTTTGTCTCGCTCGCTATTAGCAAGCTATTGTCACATACAGCATGTTATCCGAAGCTGTGCGGGAAATTGTCCTCTCTCCTCAGATCCTTCTTTGTTTGTTATAGGGCTCGAAGGCTTTGTTCTGGTGCTTTGAACCACGATAGTGCTGGACATTACATCAGCTATTTATCTTCACCTGCATTTACACTCCTATCTCTGCAGCCTGTCATCTGTTAAGGCTTTGATCCAGTGTTCTGTTTTCTTACTATAACTGTTTAATAGTGTCTGTAACACAATGCAAAGTACACACAAAAAGTGCCTCTGTCACAAGGATATACTAAACAGATTCATCCTAAGTGTAGGACAAGCTGTTCCTCTGGTTGAGAACAGAAGAAAGGGACCTTCTGGCTAAAGAGAGAGGTTCGTAGCATGTGCATTGCATCACTCCCAATTTAGTCACCTTGAGCAGCACCTTAGTTGCTACTGTCTCATGGCCATGATTCCCTCCACGGGGCTTTGTTAGAGATCTCAGGTTCTTTGTGCAAAGCATGAGTACCAAGGCCTTTCTTTGAAAGAAAATAGGAAATAATCTTTCTCTTTCTCTCTAAGTCAAAGACTTCTTACAGGACTTCACACGGCTGTCCTTTGGAACGCTGGATGGGGAGCAGGTCCTTTCTCTGAGCCTGAGCCTGAGCCCAGGGCTGGCTTCTCAGACGGAGGTGTGAGAGCCCTCTGCTTCCATGTGCATGCGGGGAGCAACTCAAGGATCCTTTTGCAGGTAAATTCTTCTGCTTTTGCTGTTCTTCCTGGTCTTTAAGTTACTGGTACTTCAACTGGAACTCTTTAAGCGGAGCTGTCTTTGTGGATATGGTTCAGATGTTTGAGCTTTTGAGTCATAAGTTTTCCTTTTTGTCAGTGCATTAGTGAGGGCTTTCGTGAAACATCTTTGGTCATTGAGTCAAATCCCCATGCCTGAACTAACTTGTTTCTCATGCAATATTAAGATTGAGGCAGGAATGTATTTTCTAGGGTTGTTTTAGATTGGTACCTAAGACTTAAGTATAACTAGTTCTATATCCCCTTATATAGCTATTTCCATGCAAATCAAGACTGTTCTCATTGCCGTCATAGAGGTGCAAAAAAAATAAGACTTATAGCTCTTGGATGACTAGCTCAACATACCCAACATACATTTGCTACAAATAATGTAGATATAAAGAAAAAATGTAAACTGCAGATGATTTTGAATCCTTATGTCCATTTCCTGGTCAGTGTTTGTAAACGCTGCCTTGCTTAGCTAAATGCTGGCTTGGCTAACTCAAATCTCAGGAGGCTGAGCTCGCTAACAGCCATTGGCAGTATTATATTTAACTTGTTTGTTTTCCTTTAATATGCACGTTTGGTGCTCAATTAAAAATAGCAGCTAGAATGTTGCGGGGGGGACGGACTGGGGAGGGAGGACGGAACGGACGACACACAACGAAACCAGAACAAACCAAAATGGTTTCTCTAAAGAGAGTCTACCAAAGCAGAGCATAAGTTTGCTGTGAAGGCTTTTTGGGTTTGTCATGACTTTTCGTTACTCCTCTTCATTTTTATCTTCCTTGTTCTTTACAGAATGATGAGTAAGTTTAATTCTGAAAAGCTCAAGGCCTCCAATAGGCAGTAGGAGCCAGGACTGGAATTACAAGCACGTCTTGCAGAAAATGACATCCCCAGCATTCAGTAAGGTGAATAAAACTATTTGTTTTGCCATACTTTTGAGATATTGGTAGGATTGCACATAGCTTTTCTGTGAAGAGATTGACTTAATATTTATAGTATGTTAGCTCTTCTTTCAAGAAGGTTTTTTTTTTTTTGCCTGCTTCTCACTCTGTTCTCCAAGGAAGCTCTATGTTATTAACTTACTTTTGGTTACTAATAGGTTAGACAGGGAAGGTAAATGGAAACCCTTCTTGCTGAGAACTCCTTGAAGGATCTGGCTTAAAATGAAGTGTCTGTGCAAGAGGTTGTGGAACAGACAACAGGTGGAAACAAGTTGCCAAACCAGATGAAGCCCCCAGGGATGGTGCTGCCAACAGTGGTCTCTCCCTTCTCACTGAAAGCTCACACCTGTGGACTGGAGAGCAGCAAATGCATCGTTAGTTTTTAAAGAGGGTTCTAGGGGAAATCTGTGGGCTGCAGACCGGGAAGCTTGACCACCTCCAACCAAAGGAATAGAAAATATAGCAAGGTAGAATTATTGGACACCTGCATAAATATTATACAGTGGGGAAGAGCCAATGTGGCTTTTGTAATGGAAAGTTGTGCCTTAAAAAAAAAAAGTTGGAATTCTCTAAAGGTCTAGATAAGCACGTTGAGAGGTCTGGCTTACAGTTTGTACTCAGATTTCAGGAAGCTCTTAAACAGGAGCCCTCACCTGAATGGCCCCTGACATAATAAGGGAGTTCCCTGTTATAAATAAACAGCCGGTGCAAAGAGGATGTGAGTAAACGGGCAGCCCTCCTGGTGGTTGGAGGTCACCGCTGGGGTGCCGCAGGGAGGTTTTGTAAACGACCTGGAAAAACAATGTTTCCAGCTGGCTTTACCTTATTTGAGGTGGTAAAGAAGAGGGCTGATAGTGATGAATAGCAAATGTGAACTGATTCATGTGGGTGGGAAGCAGCCCTAATTTCACACACAAAATGAGTGAGTTTTTGGAGCCGTAATTACACTAATTCTGTGAAGCTTTAATTCATCAGTGAAGTCTCAGTTTGGATAGTTTTATGCAGGCTCAGGGAAGGCTGCATGGATACTAAATACACAGAAACTGTGCCTGGTTCTGAAGGTTCCTGCCTAGAGACACGGAGGAGGTGTGGAGAAGCACTGGGTGCTTACTCTGTTCTCCCCAAGGCTCCTGCTGTTGACCAGTGCTGGAGAGCAGGAGACAGGGAGACACGTCCTTTGGTCTGACCCAGCATTGACTGTTTGTATATTCTCACATAAAACCTGGACAACTGGGAATCGGTATGAGGAATTGTCTCTCCAGAAGTGGTAACCTTGGTACGAACAAGCATGGAGATGGAAGGTAGATCGGGGTTTTTCTGCATTTCTGACATGGTATTGCAGTCCCCTCATTCTGCATTTTTCCTTTAAAGCAGTCACATTTTTGCCTGTGACCCGTTTCTCATGACCATAAGGCAGTAATATCCTACTGCTATTTCTAGTGAGAGTGGAAAGTGCTGAGATCTAAGATCAGCCCATAGCAATGCAATTACCAGTGCCCCGAGGCTGCCATATAACATTTACATGAGAGCACTTGCAGCTTTTAAGAATTACTTAATTGGAAAGGCAATAGGTGCCAGGCGGGTCCCGTTGCTGATGTCGCATTCCATAAGAGCACAAATTACCAAACGAGTTAATGCTTCACTCACATTTGCACTGTTTTCAGCATGGCTTTATGTCTGGCTGATGAACTGGAAGTTCCAGTTAATGCTGTCGGGAGGGACTGTCTTCAGCGTGGGGCATTCCCTTGGCTGAGTCTTGTAGAGGGTCAGTCTGATATGGGGGAGTGTTCCTCCTCCGTCCCTTCCTTCCTGCAACCCTCTGTCCTATTTGCACCCTTTCTCCCAGACAGGACTCTTGTTTGCAGAGGCCACCAGGCAGTGGTGTCTGAGGCAGGCTGCTGACTTCCAACAAAATTTTTAAGAATTCCTATCAGGTCAGAGCAGAATACCTGGCGTGGGGCTGGCTGTTCTCTGACATCACTGAATTACTGCAGTAAAGAATTAGATGTTTAGAACAAAAATAAAAAAACTCCACCTCCCTGCCAGTCATGTCAACGTGACTTTTAAAAATTTTTTTGCTGTCTATTTTTATATGTTTGTGTCTGGATTCTTCCGAAGTGAAGTGTAACACTGCTGGGGAATTGGCACTGGTGATCCAGACTGTAGCAATGCTGGATTTCTTTCAGTGTTGTTCAAGGTAACTTTTGCTGGTGGATCTTTCTTTGTGAGAAGCATTTTGATGGTGCTGATGATCTGTTGAAAAATGAGTGGCAACAGCTACTTAATTCTGTATATACTTCCCTTGCAGGTTCAGCTGTATAAAGGATTCTTTCTCCATTTCTAATTACGTATGATGTTGAACCTTTGCTTTTTTTCCCTTACATCTACATGTGGTGAATTTCAGAAGTGATGAGGCGCCTTCTAAAACCTGGTGTCTTTGCATTCTCTTGTAAGAGTCCCTTTTTGAGGCAGACACTTCCCAAATTTAGTGCCAATGGTGGACTTTAAAAAGTTTGGTTTCAGCTTTTTGTGTATTCACTATGGGAAGAGAGCATTCCCCACTGTTTTCAGAGCTTTTTGTATAAAAAAGGCTAAAGAACATCTCCAGCAATGCCCCAGTTGGGCAATGGGACCAAAAGAAAATTGCAAATTGTTCTTGAATTTGAGCTCATGATGCACTGGGGGTACCATGATCTTCAGCTCCAAAATGTCTTTGCCTATCTCAAAGTGCTTTATTCAGTGAATAAATAAGTTTGTTCCTGTTTGACAGGTGTAAGGACTGCGGCACAGAGAAAGAAATATTAACTTCTTGAAGCTCACATAGGAAATTGGTGAACAATAACCTCAGGTTACGTGTTTGCCTCAAATACACACTGTTGACTGGAACAGTCTGCTCTTCACCTTTCTGGTAGGTGAATTTAAAGCTTATTTTGTGGAGGTTCTAACACATTTCTGCTGCATGATCAACAAGTTTGTCACTGTGACTGTAAATAGGGCGTCTCCCAACTCAAATGTTCTGTGTCCTGTGGAGTTTTGGACCCTGATCTGGTTACATTACTGTTTGAAATAATTTGATACATCATTTCTGGGGACTTTCTGAGACAGCATAATTTCTGAAGTGGGTGCTTCCTATTTTTATCTGTCTGTTTAACACATTATGTTACTTCTAGTAGTACTTGTTCATCTTTGTTTTCTATTTCGGAGTTTCCTAACCTAACAGCAAACTTATTTTTGCTGCCAAGTAGAGCAGAGTCACTTTTTATGTGCGGTTCTTAAAAGATGAATACTCAAACTGCAGTTTTCTGTTTGCTTATCAGTAAAGCTCAATATTTGCCCAGCCTGATGGCGACACAGCTCGAATCTGTCACCTGCTCCTGTGGTTTGCCAAGGTTGTCCGATCAGTTACAGCTTCCAGATTCATTGTTGTGGGGAGATGTGTAAAAAAGAAGAGTTTGTGGAAATGAGTTACTTTAAAATAAATTTTATATTCTGAATTATTTTTATACCAATTTTCTAGAACTATGCCAAGAAAAAGAAAGCTGTTGGCTCAATTAAGTGCTCTCCAAAGCAACTCCAGTTTGCCTCCTTTTGATGCCCTGCACAACCTGAACGCTCCGTCTGATGGGGATTCTTCTCCAAAAAGCAGCAAATATTTTGCAATAGAGAAAAAAAACTCTTCCCGGCTGGAAGCGGATTTTTTCAACCAGCCCTGTGTTAGTTTGGCCAAGTCCTTTCTGGGACAGGTAAGACGCGACCACTGAGGTTGTGGTGCTGGAGAACAGGAGCTAATAACTTGGTGTTAAAGGATGAAATGCTTTTTTTGCCATTTGATTCCAGGGCTTTGCTATTTTAGGAATACTGCTCTCATTCCTCCTCTTGTTAAGTTCAGTGGAATGTAAAGACTAGTAGCCAAATCTCTTTTGGACGAAGTCACAGGAGTAATTTTCAGATTTAGTTTGTTGTCATATTTCAGAATTATTTTTTTGTGGATTTTTTTCTCCCTTCTTTCTGGTTTACTGAAATGTACTTCACTGTTTGTGGTTTGAAGGTTGTTTCGGGCTCATGATTTTCCTTTTGGGTATTCCTTTATTTCTTTTTGGCTCTTGCTTAGGCCAGTAGATAGTGATGCTCTGCGGTCAGCAACATCTCCTGCTCTACCTCCATTTTACTTCCTTGTGATGCTACCAGCATGGCAGACCTTGGCCTTTCTTGACCAGTATCCCCTGTCACCAAGTACTTGAATATTTCATTCTTATCTACAAGTTCAGCAGACCGCTTGGAACTTTCTTTTATGCTGCCCTGCGTGTTTTGAAACTCGTATCTCATGCTTTTATTTTACCTGATTTTTTGTTTATCTACCTGCTTTTATTTATGCTGTTCTGTACAGGCTGTGGAGACATCTGGGACTCCACAGTCCCACACTTAAACTCTTTTCACTCAAAAAACTGCTATTCCTATCTTTTGTTTCTGAGTTTTCAAGCCATTGCTTGTTCATGAAAGGACCTTCTCCCTTATCCAATTGCCGAAACTCTGAGGAATCTTTGGACCTTGTTGAAAGCCTTTGGAAATCAGAGTGAGGGAGATTAAACTTCTGCTTAATGAGTCCTTCAGAAAACTCTCACGCTGTTTCCATGGGAGAGAGTTCCTCCAGTGTTTTCCCTATAAAAAGTTCCAGTCTGGGACCTCATAAAAACCATTGCAAAACGTGTTTTTAGTTTCACTGCTACGGTCTTATCTTCTCTGAGTCTTTTTTATACCTTTATTGTCTGTAGGGTGAACAAGGCTCTCTGGCTTCTCATTGGTTTAGATAACTTCAGGAATTTGTTCCACAAACTGTTGATTTTGGCCTGTCTTGCTGTGTCTAGCTTTTTTTCTATTATTATTTTATTTTCTAAGGATATTGTCTTGCTTGTAATGGGTGCCTTTGCTCTGCTTTTTAACCCTGCTGGGTTTTTTTTGGTCCTCCTTAACCTCTTTCTGATAGCTGTGCGTGTTTGCAATCTTTCTAGACATCCTGCTAAAGGCTCCTCTTTCCAGCTTTAACCTTTGGCTGCCTTTTTAAGTTCTTCCTAACAAGCTTCCTTGCTTTACGCAGTTTCCCCTTTTTTGCTGGTAAGCAGAACTCTGCTGGATTATTTTTGGACCTTAGCGCTCGTGGAAGGACACTGAACTTTAGACCTTGTGGTCATGATGCAAAGTTGTTTTTCAGGGATAAGTCTTTGGAAAAGACTGTGCATGTTGCTCTGCATCAGTTTGAGAGTTTCATCTTTCCTTGTCAGATCCCTGATTACTCGCTCTGCAAAGCATTTGATGGTGTATAAAAAAACCAGCCTGTGTCCTGTCCCACTGTGATATTTATTTGGTCTCTGGGAGGATACCTGAAGTCTCCCAGCACTGATGTATTTTTTTAATCTTAATGACTCTGACATCCTTATGCACTCAGTTACCCAGTTATTTTAGTCCAAACTCTATACTTTTCCTATTTAGGCATAGAATTACAAGCCAGGCGATTTCTATGTTAATTTTAGATTGTCTTTAAAGTATAACCCCTGGTCTCCCATGACCTATTCTCTCATTTTCTTAGAATTGTAACTATAATGGTAATTTAGTGTTTCATTCATTGTCTTCATTCTACCAAATTTTGGAGGTGCCTGGTATATTAATATTGCTTACCTTAAGCATGATACTTCTTAGAAACAAAAAAATACCCCAAAACATACACACAATAAATGGGCCTCTCAAAATGAGCTGTCATAACACCAAGATGCATTGTTAATGAGAAATAAAAACATCTATAAAATAGTTTCCTGTGAGGTATTGTGAATGATCACCATTTTTAAACTGTTCTAACAGTCAATGTTTGGTGTGTCAGAAGAATCGGGGAAATGCCTGCATGCTTTTAAAATCATAACCTAACCATTGCGTTTCATCATCTTGAAATAGAACTGTGGCCACATGGGTGTGCTTTTGGGGTGTTTACAGGCAGTTGCAAAACACTAGTGCTTTTCTGAAGTCATGGCATTTTTCATAAAAATAATAAACTGATTGTTTTCAACAGTTTGAGAAGTGCTGTAGGGAAACCCGGATATACCACAGTTGCAACATTAGAAACTGCCTCCTGGAGCACCTGGACTGGACCAGGCCAATAACTGCATTAGTGATCCAGCACAACCATTTATTAGGAATTAAGCTTAGTTTCTTGAAGGTCATTTTTGAACAGCTAATTTTCAACTATGGAAGCACTGAATGTAGTATAATTAAACTGATGGCTGTTGCCTAATGAGACTATGCTGCAGTACTTCTTAAAATAAGAAGTTTAGAAATCAAGTCAAACCACAAAAAACTTTGTAGGAAAATTAGTGATTGTTTAATTTTTAAAGACATTCTTTTCACTGTCATGTGGAATTTTTTTTCCCTGCATCTGCTTTGTTTTACTTGAGGAGGTACCAGCAGCAAGGAACACGCTGTAATAACAAAGATCTGTTGTTGTCTGCCTGAAGCCAGCTCCCAGCTCTCCTGCAGCCCCCCTCTCTGTGGTGCAGAAAAGACAGAAATGGCATCGATACTCTCTCTGGTCACTATTATCTCCATGGTTAGGGACTAGGGCTTGTTTGAAACATCTCTGTGGAGAGAGACTATCTAATCATAGGTGTTTAATTGTGCCACTGTCATATTTCTCCTGTCATGATGCTTCAAGGTTGATGGTGGTGCTTTTTTGCCTTAAACCTGGGAGACTGGGGGGGGGGGAGAATACAGAATATAACCACAAAAGCAACTCTGTGGGCTTTATTGTCTATGGGATTATAAATCGGTTCTTTGTGATACTGCCACATCCAGAGGCTCCAGGCATTTTGTGGGGTGAAGAGCAGGTAGGAACTTCTTGCACTGAGCCATCTCCTGGCCAGTAGAAGCTGGAAAGGTTCCCCTCAGCCCACAGACTGGACTGCTAGAGGGAGAGCAGAGTTTGTGGTACCATCAGGTCCTTTTTTCCCCCGACTTCGTTTGTTTCCACAGCTCCTGTGCTGTGGTTATTTTGTACAGAGGGTTACTAACTGATGCACTCTGACCTCTCGTTCAGATTTTAGTTCGCAAACTTCCCGATGGCAGAGAACTCTGGGGAAGGATTGTTGAAACAGAAGCGTATCTGGGTGGGGAAGATGAAGCTTCCCACTCAAAAGGTGGGAAACAGACTCAACGCAACGCGGCGATGTTCATGAAACCAGGAACCCTGTACGTCTATCAGATCTATGGGATTTACTTCTGTGTGAATGTCTCCAGCCAAGGTAAGGTGAGGCTGAAAGAGTTTTAATTCTCGCCCTGTTGCAGTCACTCGCCAGCTCCCTATGGGCTCTGTGACGTCAGTGACTCGCTGTCACAATCCTTCCCTGGCATCTGGGTTTTGTCACTGTGAACAGTGTGTAACTGTAGACAGAGGTGTATACACTTTCAGCATTACCAGCAGGGCCCATCTCCAGCTGCACAGTGGGGCTTCTGTCCCAGCTGCGTGAGCTCTTCAGGCACAGAAACAAAGACCAAGGGCTGGAGGAGAATCTTGCTGGGATGGAGTTTTCAGTTTTGATTACCTGGGCTGCTGCCTTATCCATGTGGTTCAGTGAACTTTGCTCCTCAGAAGTGGTGCAGTCCAATGACAGCCTACATCTTGGTATCTGTTGTCATGACCAGGAGCACTTCTGTCTCCTACCTTTATCTTCAGAAGCTGTAAAACAAAAGGTCTGAGATGTGCTAAGCTGAAGCAAGGAGTCACTGCGGGAGCATTTTACCTGCTTTGCTGTATGTTAAAACAGAAAAAAAAAAACCCAAAACAAATCAAAATACCCAGACTGTTACAGAATCTTCAGTCTTTTATTATTCTTTATTCTCAAGATAATATAATCAACCCCTAATCAAACAATGCTGGAATTAACTGAGACTCTCCTTCCACAGCTCCTCTTAACATGCAAGTGTGGCTTTTAAAACTTGGGGTTTTTTATTTTCCTGTAAGAATGACAAGTGTTTGCCTTGCAATAAAGCTACTGGTTCATTAGACACCTTGAAATGGCAGCAGGTATTTCTTAGATAAATACTCATTTTGTTAAGAAAAAATAATCTCAAAAATAATTTCTTTTCTTTTTTTGCCATTTCAAAGATACAGCTTAAAAAAAACCCCAACACCCCACTGCTTGTGTATTCCTAAATGGAAAGAAAATGTTGTAACAGTGGCCGTTAATCCTGGGGTTTTGGCCTTTGGACGGGAGCCAGGCAGAAATCCAGGGCCAGGTTACACCGCGGGGGGAAGAGCCCGGGTCTTTCTAAAGGGAGGTCTGGAGTCTGGTGGCTGAACACATGTGAATTTCATTAGCTTGTCTCTGCCAAATCTGTTCAGATAATGAAAGCAGAATGGCTCTTTATTCAGGATGGGCTGCTTAGCGTTTGAAATATTAGGAAAAATAATTTTTATTTAAAAAAAAAAAAGCCCAAAGATGCTTAGCTTTTGAATTCTAGAAAGATTTCTTTGAAATTTATACTTTGGGAAATTTTCCCTTATATACTTGTGTTTAGTTTTGTAGTAAATCAGTTAAAGAGCTCGCTGTTGTGATGGACTTAGTTGGATTTTGTTGTTCCAAACTTCCTTTCCGTGAGCCTGTCCCACGTGCAGCCGTGCTCACACCAGGCACGGCTGTCACTGCCAGCTTCGTTAGGGACGTGCTGAAGTAACGAGCGTGGCTGTGCACGTTGTGTGTCACACATGTATCTGTGTGAGCAGGATTTACTCCTTCAGTGTATTCACCTGTGTGCAGCTGTGAATCCTCCTGAAAAACACCTAAAAGAAGGAATCTGAGGAGGAATCACACCCGAGGTGCTTTTCTCACCTTAACGTAGATGGAGAAGCCTGTCCCATCATTTGGTGTCAGGGAAGGACTGAGGAAGTTGTCTTTCGTGGGGGTGCTTATGCACCTGGGCAGAAGCAAAAGCATTTTGTTCTTTGGATATGGGATGGATCTTGGAAACTTTGGTTTGAATCCAGCTCTGGCTGGGCAGAAAAGAGAAGGAAACGGTGGCAGCAGAAATGTCTGTTGTGTCTTAGTAGCACAGATCATGCTCTGCCAATAGCGTGAGCTTCTGGTGTAAGTGGTGTCATCAGTTTTGTTCAGGGAATTCGATGCAAAATATCTAAGTACTTCAGGGTCTCCCTGGAATGCTGGAAAACCTGAGTGACCAGGAGAATGTACAAGGAATAGGGATATATTATTTCTGAAGGTGTTGCTTGGAAAGACTGAACACAACTGACTGAGAGAACACTAAATGCTTTTTTCCCTGTCAAAGGGCACATCTCCAGTGACATCCCAGAGCTGCATCACTCTTTTCTTGGATTTTGGCAGTGCAAAGCTGCAGAGCAGCAGGAGTTAAACAGCAGAGAACGTGGGATGACTGCATCTATTCCCATATATCATCTTCTGCCTCCTGTCACCTCTCAGGATCGCTCATATTCCATTCCCAGCTTGTCTTCTAAGCCAAAGGTTCATACTCCACTCTAGTTATTCCTTCCTTGGGCTTTTGCTCTGAAGCCAGTCTGTAACTTTGATCATCCTGGTTTCCTGTCCCTGAATCTCTTGCAGTTTTGTTACGTGTTTCTGTAGATGGAGGGAGGAGCAGAACAAGTCCAGACACGCACACAGATTTCAGGACAGCCGAGGAACTTCCTTTACACAAGTGGCTGGGGTTTCCATCTGGGAACACTGTAGGGTGGTGGTGCAGTAAATGGGAGCTGTGGGCAGGGGTGCTGGGGGGTTCGCTGGTGTCCTTAAACACACACACATTAACCCTGTCTGAAGCCATTTCAATTTTGACCCGGATGCACGTTAGCAAAGTTCATACTCAATGACATGAAAATGAGGGGAAACCCTGAGGTTGATTTCAGGAGAAATCAGCTCTAGAGATTTTCCAAATTCCTCTTGAAAGATGTTTCTGTTTGGCCATCGGGCGGTTTGCATCAAAATACTTACGCAATCATACACTGATTTTTTTTTTTTTTTTTAACAAAGCATTTCTTTCTGCAGACTGTTGGAAGAAGCACGTAGACTTAAAACCACCCCAGATCTCAGTTAAGTGGTTTATTAATGTCAGCACAAACTAATAACCCCAAACGAACTCTTAGCTGGCATAGATTGAACTGTCTAGTTCTTTAGTGCAGGCAATTCCTTGTCTTGCTTATATTAAAGGATCTTTGTGGGAGGAAGGCATGTGGTTCAAATGACTAGTACAGCCTCTTCAGTGTGAGGTGAACCACTGTGCTGCTGCTTCTTGGGCTCTTGAGAGTGACCTTAGAGCTGATTTGGAGCCACCAGCTCGATGGAAGTGGCTGTCCTTTTACTGGAGAGAGCCCGGAGCGCTGTACTGTCCCCACGTTCCCTGTGTTTTGCTGCCTTCTTGGCACAGACACTCCACAGGGCTGTCGCTGCTGGGACCAGGCAAGAAGTGTGATCTGGATGGTTGCAGCAGACTTGCTTTTAAAAAGTAGTTTAACGTTGACTTGAATCGTGCTGGGGACACCTTGGTCCTTAATCGGCTCAGGGTCTGAGGCCTGTACGACATGTGCAAAGCTTTATGTGCTGCTCCTGCTTGTGTTGACTTGATTCGTGCTGGGGACACCTTGGTCCTTAATCAGCTCAGGGTCTGGGCCTGTACGACGTGTGCAAAGCTTTATGTGCTGCTCCTGCTTGTTCCCTTTTGTGTATCTGGCCTGTTAGACTCTGGCTCTTCAGACATAATCTTGTAGCATCATCTGTTTTAATACCAGGCGGAATAAACCTTCTCTTCTCTTTTCTGTATTTGGCTTATGCTAGACTCGGGCTCAGCGCCGTCACTCCGGGGACAGGAAGAGTGTCACCAGCAGAGCTGTGCTGGCAGAGGTGCTTGGTAGAGCAGCTACAAAAGCACAGACTTTACCTCGAGAGCCACCACCACCACTCAGCAGTGTGTCCCCAGCCCAGCCTGGTGCTGCCAACAGCCCTCAGCTGTAGCCTGTTGTCTTCCCAGTTTGCTGGGGCAAGAAATTGCTGCTGTTGGCGTGTTCAGTCAACTTGACCTGACTGTATTTTTGGGTTCAGAACACCATAAGGAGCTGAAGGGAGGTCTCAAATCTTTTTTGTCTCTGAGGAAGGGGAAATCTTTCTGCGTGTCACTGAGATAAAGCTGCATCGTGTGGGATTTTGCTGTGAGTGGCCTTCCCATCACTGGGTCAAATAATGCTACTGCCTGAAGCCACAGCAGGCATCACTACACTGAGTTTTTTGAGAAATCATAGGTGATAGAGGAAGAAGAGTCTATAGAAAAATATAACCACGAATCGTACAGTATACCTTGGCAACAGCACAATAATCTTAGTACAAAGAGCCTTCCCTGAGGTTAGGAGGGATGATGGGCTTCCCTCGCTTTGGGAAGAGGGTAAATGCCAGTCAAGTGTCTGTCTGACTTTGCTGTGATTTGTTTCTCTGGAATTTGCCAAGGCGTGTTTATTGCTGCCAGATATGAAAGAACAGCTTGTAAAATGGAGATCGCAGTGATGCTCTGCCCAGGCCCAGGGTCACACGGCGTGGACTTCCCCCTGATGTTCAGATCCTAGACTGGGACTTTGGAGGAAGCGTTTTGGGATCAGTGAGTCAGACGGGTGGAGAGAGGAGAGAATTTTCTTCTCTCCAGTGGCCAAGAGCTGCTTCCAAGAATGAGAGCTGGAGGCGTTCCAGGGAAGGAGCAGCAAACTGCACAGTGGGAGTGTGGGACTTCCCTATCATTTTATGATTTCTGGCTGTTCAGGGAGAGAATTGGCCTCTGCGTTGTTGTTAGATCCCAGCTTGTAGCTTTGAATGCTACTTGTTATACAGAGCAGCTCTTAGGCACGGGAGGGGGATATTCAGCATCTCTGGTCTGGCGCTGCTGCCGCTGGTCGGGCAGTGGCCCTACCTGTGTCGGGCAGATGCTGAAGCCAGATGACCCCTGCAAGCCACCTGATGAGGATGCAGAGAGGGAGGAAGGCAGGTTGCAGCACCCTGGCAGCCAAGAGATGAGCCCGAAGGATTCATCTACTCCCTGGCAGACAAAATAAAACTTCTGATGTGCAGGTGTGCTCAGGAGGACCCAAATATCCGCCTGGGGGTGTGGGCACAGGTAGGAGCAGAGAAGGCAGGAGCTCATCCAGGCTGCTCTCTCCACCTCTTCAAATAGCTCTTGTGGCTGCTGAGTTAGAGCAGAGGGCCACGTCTGTGTTGCATGTGGCTAGAAAGAGTGAAAACTCTCTGTTGGAAATGCAGAAAGAGCAAATAGAGACAGAAATGCCAACCCCCTGACACGGCTCTGCAGAGGCTCTGGGAGCACCCGCACTTTCTCTGAGCGCTTCTCTCTTCACGTGAACTCCCAAGGACTCGGGTCAATCCAAGTCTCATCATGGTTTCCACTTGCATTTGTGATGGATGAAAGGAAGTAGTGTAATTAGTGATTGCTCAGACTCCCACAGTTGTTCCTGGCGAGCGAGGCAGCGTCCCGATGCAAAGGATGTTTCTTTGTGCATGGATGAAAAGCAGAATTAGGACATGGAGCATGTTCTTCAAAATCTAAAATGACCTTGGAGCTCGAAATCACTGTAGTGCGGGGAAGGGACTTTTGGCTGCCAGATTAGCATCAATCCCCTTCCTTAAGGGAGTGCCTGGGCCCAGATTGCTGACAGCTGTTGGAAGTAAGTCTGTTCCCTCCACTGAGCTGTACCGAGGGCTCCGAGTAGGTTTGGGGCAGCAGACACACCTCACAGAGCCAGAAACCAGGTCCTTGGTTGACAGGCTCAGTTGGGAGCCCAGGAGGGTAATTTAGTGTGGGATTTGTCCAAAATATGAGAGGGATTCTATTTTTGGAAATCGCAGGTCCTTAGGGATAGTGTCTGTGCCTACAAAAAAAGCCTTTGCCAGGCGTGAGTGTGGCTCCAGATGTTTGGGGCTGGAGAGGGGACTCTGGGGGAGCAGCAGCACCGAGCAGGCAGATGCTGGCAGGGAGGAATGCCGTGGGCGGCCCCGCACAAGGGGGGCTGTGTGGGGCAGCACACAGAGTGCTTCACCAGCTGCTCCCCTCGCCCACTCGGGGTCAGGAGAAGACCTTCCTTGCTGTCCTGTGGAAAATACTGAGGAAATGTTTATGTCCCACTCAGGCTGGAGATCCTTGTCGCAGGGGAATGTCTGTGCTCAGAGCTTATTTCACTGTCACCAGAATCGGGGAGGGCAGCTGGTCACAACAGCTGGGGGTGGCTGGAGTTTCCGAGGGCTCCTGCCAGGGTGGTGGATCACATTTAAGAAGAGAATCTTTCCCTTTTCTTCACTTCTTGCCACAGAAGTGTCTCTGCTGCAGTGATGCTCCCAGGGCCATGCATCCCACAGCCAGAGATGGTGCAGCCCTGTCCTGCCCGAGCTTCCCTGGGATCGCTCTCTGCTGTAGCTCTGCACTTACCCAAAGCCATGGTGATGCCACCTGCTGCTCTGCTGTAGCTCTGCAGTTACCCAAAGCCATGGTGATGCCACCTGCTGCTACGGCTCCAGTTGGGTGTTGGAATTAGCAATGCTTGCAGCTGGGGCTCCCTCAGCAACTGCTCTCCGTGCCTGTGGCTCCCTCCCAGTTTTCTCTTTGTCCGGCCTGACTCTGCGAGCTGCCTCTTTCCTGGCAGCATCTGGCCTGGTTCCTCCTCTGCTCCGTTAGCTGGAGCTCTGGCAATCAGAGTCTATGATGAATCCACTGGGTCTGGGAGCAGCTTTGGGTGGCTGTGCCAAAACTGAACCCAACGTGTATTTATTCCTGAACATTGCGCTGACATCAGAAAAACCTCTCGCCCTCTGGCAAGCCCTGGAGCAGCAGCTGGACCTTGTCACAGCCAGAAGTGGGGCTGGGGAAGAGCAAGTCAGCGCTGACGACTGAAGGAGACAGGACGTTCAGAAGAGGGAGGGAGTGCACTGACCGTGGGTTAGTCCCTGACTCCAGAGCCTGGCACTTGAAGTGAAGTGGCCTGAGAGAAGGGCAGACACTGTGTTTAGGAGCTGCAGGCAATTCCCGTTCCATCGGGTCAAGCTGACCCACAGGCCCAGAGCTGAAGTTCTCGTGGTGGTGGTGGGGCTGAAAGCTGAGACGTTCTTGCCAACTCTGTACTAACACGTGGTTCTTGTTGTGCGCAGGGGAAGGGGCCGCGGTCTTACTTCGCTCTTTGGAGCCTCTTCAGGGTTTAGATGCGATGAGGGAGCTGCGCAGCGCGGCGAGGAAAGGACCCACGAAGCCCCTGAAGGACGGGCAGCTGTGTAACGGGCCCTCCAAGCTCTGCCAAGCACTTGGGATCGATAAGGCTTTTGACCAAAGGGACCTGACTGAAGACGCAGCCATCTGGATGGTACCCGGCCATGACCTACCAGAGGAGCAGGACGTGGTCGTCACAACAAGGATTGGGATTGGGAACAGGGGAGAGTGGGCACAGAAACCTCTCAGGTTTTATTTACGAGGAAACAAATTTGTGAGCGTTGTGGACAAGAAAACGGAGAGAGAAATGGCAGCAATGGAACACTTGTCTTGCAGCTGACGAGTCTTGCAGGTGTGCCACCAGGCAGGACTTGAGCTGTGCGCTGTAGATGGCCTCAAGCTACGTCACAGTAGCAGCCATAGTACCCTGGAGGATTTTAACAATAAATGTTCTTTATCACAATGAACAGGGTGAGGTGGAATGTTATTTGTGGGACAGAGTGGTGTGGGTCTTGTAGCTAGAACCGAGCTTGGTTTTGGATGTTGAATGCCACTTTCTCCTTTGTGCATGGGTCAGTTAAGGTGGATGAGATGTGAAAGTTCACAGCTCTTAGGTGCTGTGTTGCTCCCATCACCTTTGGCCCCAACAGAAGCTGTCTTGGTTGCTGCAGGGGAACGGTCAGAAGACAGGATGGCAGCAGGGCTGAGCGAAAGGACAAGAGCTGGGTTTGGTCAGCAGAAGAGAAGGTGAAGGAGGGACCTTACTGTTGTCTACACATACCTAGTGGGAGGGTGTGGAGAAGACAGAGCCAGACTTTGTTGGACAGGATGAGAGGCGGTGGGCACAAACTGGAAAACAGGAAATTCTCATTAGCTGTATGGAAAAAATTTTCCCCCTGTGGGTGGTCAAACACTGGAAGAGGGGCCCAGGGAAGCTGTGGGAACTCTGTCCTTGGAGACATTCAGACCTCCACTGGACAAGCTCCTGAGTGACCTGGTCCAACACATTTCCTTTGAGCAAAGCTTTGGACAAAACACCTCCAGAGCCCCCTTCAAACCTAAACCAGTTTATAACATCCAGCTTGGAGAACGAGAATGCTTTTTGTTAGTTTTCCCAGCTGCTTGTGAGACCAGTTCAAAACTTATCAGTGCGTGAACCCCAGCACAGAGAAAGAATCAATGCTGAGATTTCTGCGATGCTGCAGCTGCCACGAGGTACAGGGGAAAAAAAAACTCTAAGATTTAGGGCAGAACCTGCAGAACTGCAGCCACGCTGGCAGTTTGAGGGGTGACAGAGACACGCAGCCCTCCCCCCCCAACCCTTAGGATTCACATGCAAGAAAAAAAGCTCAAGTTCATCAAAACCCTTGTCCCCATCACATGAAAAAAGCCATGTTTGGCCTCTTCTGAACAACCCTTGTTACACTGATAGTAGCTCACCTTGAGACGCAGTTACTGGTTGGGGCTGGGGCCCTACAGCAACGTTGATCTGATTTTTAGGTCGGGCCTTGCTTTAGCTCTTCTACAACATCCCTGCTTGCAGCTGTGGGGGACAACTTGAGGGAGGGAGGAAGGGACCCCGAGTAGGTAGCTGTCACCTGGTATCTGGTGCCCTGTGGCCAGGGTGCTCCCCGGCATAACTGCGCCTTGCTGGTGGCAGATAAGTAACATAAAGCTCATGGTTTCACCCAGTTTGTGTGGGCTCTGTGAGAGCCTGCAGCTCTGGGAAGAGCTCCAGCTTGTCTCTGTGGTGTAAGGGAACGTCTTAAGGAGGAGCCTGACGAGCCTTTTAACAACACACACCCCTGGAAGCCACCACCATGGAGATAAAGGTGTGTGTCCCCCTTCCCCAGGTACACAGCTGTGGGGGACAGACCTCACGCAGGGACAAACTCCTGCTGTCCTCAGAAATGGGGCTGTCCCCTCTTAGCACCAGCCTCTGGCTGTGTGGAACTGCACCTCCATGCTCTTGCAGCTTGGCCAGCCAACTTCAGACCTGCTCACCAACCAAGCTCCACCTCCCCCAGTCAAAAACTGGAAACCCTGCTAACCCACAACCAGCGGCTGCTTGGTGACAGCCCTGCCCCAGGAGGTACAAAGTAATAAGGACACTGGGCAGAGGAAATAATAAGCCGTAACACAGCGAGTGAGTCATTCTCATTCATGACACCATTTACTTGTGATACTTTGTCTTCCTACCTATCTCCTCACTGCTGCCAGATACCGGTGATCAAACAGAACTCCTCAGCGCTTGGCGGCATTATCCTAAAATCCAGGTCAGCTCCTCTCCGCCCTAGAGCAGAGTCTGTGGGGCCAGGCTGCTCCCCAGCGGTGCTTGGGGCTGAAGAACCCACCAGTCATGGTGTTGGAGAGCAGAGAAAGCACTTCACATGCAGCTGCGTCCACCCAAGGGCGAAGCTCTGTGGGCAATGCTGCAGTGGATGCCATCCTGGTCCTCTCCCACAAGTCCTGGGCAGGGAGGAGGGTCAGGGAAGGGCTGTGAAGGTGGCACGGGAGGAATCCAAGCTGAGCAAAGTACACACCATCCTGCAGCAGGCCCCAGAGCCCTCACACGGACCATCCTCACGGGGAGCAGATGGGAAACCAAGGCACGGAGGGGAAGAACCTGCTCTCTGTCACACGGCGCAAAGGAACCGAATTCACCTCCTTTAGTTTTTAGACTGTCAGTATCCAGAGTTTCCCTTCCTTCGCCAACAGAGTCATTTTAGGAGGGACTGAAAAACGGAAATCACGGGGTCCTCGTGGCTGGTGACCACCAGCACGCTGCGGAATTTGTCAAACAGCATCAGCAGCTGGGAGCGACGCATGTTCTCGTTGTACATGATCTCCTCCAGGTGGTGTCGGCCTCGGAAGTAGTGCAGCAGCCTGCAGGGAAGGAGAGCAAGGGAGGCACGTGGGCCAAAAAGCAAATGCACGCAGCAAGAACTGATACTGCCACCCTCAAGGTTTCCTCTCCCATGGGACGCACATCAGAAGGTGCTGGGGTTGCATCCCTCATTTACGTGGAAAGAGAATTTAATTGGTTCTTACCTTAGGCATGCCTAGTGCAGAAATCCCCTGGAAAAGCAGGGGACTCCCTCCAAAGGTTCTCCATGTATCAAAAGGTTTCCTAGCGGGGTACGTTTCCTGACATTGTCCATTTTCAACATAGTTTTAACTCCAGAAAGCAAGGAACCACAAGTGCCAATGAGCCTTGAGAAGTCAGGATGTGGCAGATTTACTTCTGCCCTCTCTTAGTGGGGTCTACACTGCCCTTTGTCACAGCTCTGCAGTGCAAGCCTGGGCACCTACACTCCATTTTAGAATTAAGAGGGTATTTTCCCTCACAGCAGCCCAAGGGGCTTGGTAACTCTAGGTCGTGTGCTCTTGAGGTTGAGTTAGCTTGGGGTGGGTGGCACAGTCACACCAGAGATGGAAGTGTTGATGACAGGCACCACAGAGCAGCTCTGGGAGTTATAAAGCCCCCAAAGAGCCCCAAAACCCTGAAGTCTAAGCTAAAACCACACTGGCTTCTTCAATTCCCAGTTCTCTTTAGAGACAGCAGAGATACTCCTTTGGTGGCCACCAACATTCTACAACCAGCAGATGATCTCAGCCCTGCACAGTCAATCACGGCCAGATCCGAGACAAACCCCTCCAGCAAGTCCCTGATGGCTGAGGACCTGCCCCTCAGGGACCATTTGGAGCGGTAGAGCCAAGCCAGCCCTTCAGAGTTTGCTGCTCCTCTCTTAATTGTCATAACAACCTCCCAAACACAGGAACCATCCTGCACATGTCACTCAAACACTCCTACTCGTCACGGCCCAGACGTGTACGTCGCAATCACGTCCCCAGCTACATGGACAGACGTGTGTCCGCACGTGTTCCCCATCACGCTCTCCTCCAAAAGCGCTTCAGCAGCTTTTGCTCGTGGTTCCATCCCTGTCTGCAGTTCAGGAATATGTCGGCCTGCTGCTTCCTGCCAACTGACAGTAAAAACGAGTGGAGCTGACAAGATCTGTTTTCCAGTTCATTCATACAGTCTTCCTGCGGGAACAGCCCTCGAAAGACACCAAATATCCCTCGGAGCATTCCTGCCTGTTTTCGCATGAGAGCAGGATGGGGCCTCTCATGCTTTCCCTCAAGGCCTGGCGCTCGCCTGGCTGCCTTCTGCTGCTCAGGCTGGGCCCTCCTGTCCCCCACTGCCCTTCCTGGGTGACTGGAGAGGAGTCACTGTGCAAGAAGTCTCCCTCCAGCACACCCTCAACTCTGCGCAGAGCAGGATTTGCCTCCAGTCCGCTGCCATTTGTGTTTCTCTGCTCCCCAATTTGCCATGTCCCTCCTCTCACCCCCATCTCCTTCCCCAGACTTAAGCTCAGAGCAGGGAACCTCCCTGCCCCATCCCTGCAGGCAGGGATGTGGGGCAGCCCCCAGTAGCCCCCAGCAGCCCCCAGCACACTGCAAACCCCCTTCTGCTTTGATGTTCACCTGCCAGCTCTCAGGTTGGCACCATTACATAGAAGATAATTGCTCTGTCTCTGGACCTGCAGACGGACAAGCTCCCATTGTATTTACCTTTCCTCTATCTGGGATGTACATTTCCCTTTTGCAGCATCTCCCACCGGGTATTTAAATCAGGCTAATTAGTTTCCTCTCCTGCACTGATGGCAACCAGTGTGCACTGAGAAGTGGCCATTAGCAGGGACAGCGTGGGTTTGTCAGTGCATGTGTCAAAGCCAGCCTGTTCCCTGAGGTATTAACAGTAATTTTTGTACCTTGTAACTTGTCTTGCTGTTCAAAAAGCCATTTTGAAGAGGATTTTAAAAGCTACATATTCTCTGCCTTCCATAAGGCTGCTCACTGTGATTGCCCATGCTCTCATCTCCTGGCACAGCTGTCTTCTGTGCAGATGATTACAACCTCGCTTTCAACAGCAACATACACTGAGCAGGAGCTTTCCAATAAATAAATCCATCTTATATTCAAAAAGATTCTGGATTTGTAACTGGTCAATATGAAATACTTTCCACTCCAATAAAAGCTAGAGAGGATATTAAAGAATATCACAAAAATGCCGGCTGGAAGACACCTCCGAAGTCTAGTCCAGCATCCTGCTCCAGCAGGACCACTGCCAATGCTGGAGCTTTTTCCAGCCAAGCTCTGAAACCCTCCAAGGCTGGAGATCCCCCCCACGCCTGGGTAATCTCTCTGGTGCTGCACCACCCTCCCGGGGAAGGAGTTTTCCCAAAAGTCCAAGTAGAATCTAACCTGGGGCTCAGCTCCGGTGAAGATGGGCACTACCTTCACCTTTCTGAGCAGTGAACATTTCTAGGATCCAAAGGGGACATAAGATGGCACTGCCTTTGAGTCCCTTTGAAGCTGCACAGACATGCCTGTCAACAGATGTGCACTTCTGGATCCAGATGTGGCAATGGAAGATTATTGCTTTCCATTACTCATCACTGTTTCTCCCCTCTTCAAGCTACAAGAGCTGCCCCTCTACTGAGCTGCCACTCAGTGTAGTGTTCTTAAATGCTAAAAAATAAATGGATTATCTCAGACTACTCATTCAAATAAAATGATCTTATTTCTGGCCAAGGAGATACCCCTTCCACCAGCACTGCTTGGAAATGGAGCAGAACTGTCCACAGCTTCGTGGCACCAATGAGCATTCCTCTGTGGAGTAGAGGACCTCCATTGCCCAATCTAAGAGCAAGAAAACAAAGTCCTGAATGTGCCTCCACACCCATGGCTTGGGAGAGAAGCCATCAGTGAAGCCTCAGACTGTCTTTAAAAGCACTGCTTAATGTGCAGTGAGGAACGCTTTGTGTACATTACTGAAGATCTAGCTCAAAAAAGGCTTGTCTCCTTCTCGACTGTACTTCTGGAAGGACATGCCATCCCTCCTCTGACAGCACCCGAGGAAAAACTTGGATTTTAATTTCCCTCCAAGGTTCCGAGGGTTAATGCAGCCAATGCTGGAGCCAAGCTTCAGTATTGCTTATTTCCCCTCAAGGTTTCTGCCTTGCAAATACCGGCTGTGCATAGCAATGGACAGGCACAAGCTCTTCCTGCCATCTGTTTAACGAGTAACAGGCCTTCAGAGGCACAGACACAAGAAAACGCGTCGGGCTGAACTTTATTGCTCTGCTGAAAATAGCCCATCCCTTTTTGTGCACACAAAACTATACGTGAAGGGCAGTGGCAGTATATTTAGTGCACTAACGATGCAGTTATAGCAGGAGTTTGTCCTGGGAGGCCGCTGACAGAGCAGAGCCGTTTGCCACGTCACGGCCCTCGTTAGGCTGCTCTTCCTCAAAATGAAGCGAAAAAGAAGAGCTGATGCTGTGACCTGTCTTAGAGAAATGGGGGAGATCAGCTCATTCACTGCTGTGGCTTCCCCACAATTGTTTGCACTTTCATTAAGAGCAATAGGTTTACACAGACACTCATCCCTGATTGTTTATGGCACAAAAAGAGAGAAAAATACACCCACAACCTCCAAATTATGGTGTCTCATGAAACCACTGCTAACCAAGAGCATCTGGCATCAACATTTCTATCTGTACACTCCAGCACCCTGCCCATAGGACCCACTGATTTATTGGATCTTTTCTCCTTCTTGCTCTTGAGCAAGAGTGAGCTCCGCAGTCGTCAGTTCAATCTACAGCAGAGTGGAAATTCAGACTGAGCAAAGCCCCCCCGGGGATCTGCAGAAGAACCTGGTGCACGAGCAAACTGCTAAATAAACATTAAGACAGCTGCCTGCTTACGGCAGCTCATTTTAGGAAGAAATCAAAGTAATTTTTTGCATCTGCAATTCCAAAGCTTTCAAATGGCTGTTCTAACCAGCTAGAGGAGCAATCACGAAATCCTTTTCTCTCCCCAGCATGACTGAGAATCTGCATTGACACTAAACTGGTCCAAAGCCTCCCCCACAAATTCTGTCTGAAAGTATCACCAACTATGATATTGTTTTTACTTTCCTTTCTCACTGGTTTTGTAATGACTTATCTGCTAATGAATTAAAAAAAAAAAAAAACATGTCAAAGTTCTCAAATGACCAAAGTGTTGTGTCTCAATCAGAGAATATCCTCTGAGCAGTTTAGAGAAGATGGAGATGAGTAATTGAGAGGGCAGTGACCACCCACAAGCCTGGGAGGGCTCTGTGAAAGCACCTGCAAACTTTGCCACAGAGAGGGAAAGTATTTTCTTGCTATCACAGCTGTTGTAGGCGACTCGACTACATCCATCCTACGGCAAGAACCGCGTTTCCAGGGGATTACCTACTCACGTGGGAAGTATAGCAAAAGCTGCAATACTTGCCTCGGGTGGTTTTCTGCTCCACAAGTATGAAAACCAGTGAAAGTTGCATTCCAGTGATGCCACTGTGTTTTGAAATGCTTAAGAAGAAAAAGTTTTCCCCTCCACCCCTTTTTCCCAGATGGCTGGTTCGGAAGTCATTCGGCTTTTTACCATGTGCACAACCACATCTTGCGTATTTTGTCGCGCTGAAATTTGTAACGACAAAACTGGGTGCTACTCATCACACATCCTAATGGCTTTAACCGAACTAACCCAACCAAATGAGCAGCTCATCTCTGCAAAACAGACCTGGAAACCTTTTTTAAGTCCGGTCTGTAAAAAGTATTCAGGCTGGCTTTGTGTCTGCTGCTTTTTTTCTGTTTCGTATTTGCATGGGGTTTACAAACCCTACAATAAAGGATAGCTGGCTTGGAAATGTAAATGGACACAAAGTGACAGCACCAGCACGACTGAGGTTTGTCTTTGCAGGCTTAGGGGTTTTTTTTCAGACTACACAGTTTTATGTGTCCCGTGTGTGGACACTGGGAAACTGGCAGACAAACAGCAAAGTCTGCGTTGTCCAGCCATACTCCCTGATGCTCCTTTGCACACCCAGGACTCTTTGTTAACAGCTCTTCTTGTGACACCTATATTAGTTTTTGTTAAAAACTGATGTGTACAGATTAAATAGGTATAAGGGGAAGAAACCCGAAAGAATTTATCCTCCAAAATCCCAAGCTAACAGGATTTCCACACCAATCCTTCAACAGAACAGCAAGAAGAAGAAAAAAAAAAGATGACATTCTGCCCTCCTCATTTCCTACCTTGCAAACATGCGAAGATCTTCTGGATTTTGGGCAGCAGGAACATTAAGGATAGCTTCCCGCTCGTGTTCCAACAAGCTTGCTAGAAGATTCTCTGTCATCCTTTTATTTAGGGGTGAGTCCCCACCAGGTATCAACTCAGCACTGGAATTATCCATGCTAGGGCTTGTCAGAGTCATGTCGTCACTACTAGCTATCAGGGGAAGACAGAAAGAGACACAAAATTTTTTACACACCTCAGCATAATGATGCAAAGATTATCAAGTCAGGCTGTTCCTATATGGTCTTTCCAAATAATCCCTTCAGATTTGTAGAGCAAATAAAGTGCCTCTTGAAATGCTACATGGATCTGCAATTAGTCATACGGCAACACAGCAATTTTCTCAATGGGAAAGTCAAACGTTTCAACGAAGTCATCAATTTATGTGGAAAATTGTACTTCTGGAGACCATAAACAGTCCATAAAAAACATCTGAAAAGAAAATTCCCAGCCAGCTCTGCTGGAATACCGTGAAGTGGTAACATGAAAAGCCGAACAGCACAGAAGGTGGGAGCAAGCAGAAAGGCAGGCCAAGAAGCAATATCCTCTTGTGAGTGCGCCAGAATAAGCAGATCGCAGACTTATCTGACTCACATTCCAAGATTTCTGCCCTAATTCATGACTTCTGTAAAGCTGAAAGTTGCACAGAGAATCTCTCCCGATATCCAACCTCAGTGGCGTCCTGAGAATGCTGCTCGTATCAGCACAGGAAAGTTTGGGGATTTCAGAATTGTATCTGATTTACACTTTTGAAAAAATGCTTTCCTGGAATCACCCTGAAGAATGGCACTGAGGACATTAAAGAAATCAGGAGACAACCAGAAATCAAACATTTGTAAGAATGACAGCATCTCTTCAGGCGGCTTTACAGCCCACAGAAACCAACGAAACAATTCTCACCATTTTCTTTCCTGAAAACCAAAATTTCGTGCATTGACACTGGTGCAGCCAGAGGAACATGGCAGGTACTTCAAAAGTAGAAAGTTACTTTGAAAAAAACAGAAGTACCTCTGATAAAAATATTTTACATCACAAAATTACAAAGCATAACTTGTTTTTAAAAACAAAAATTTAAGGTTTAAGAATTAGCCCTTAAAACTTTCACCAGGTTGCACAGAGAATCTCTCCCGATATCCAACCTCAGTGGCGTCCTGAGAATGCTGCTCGTATCAGCACAGGAAAGTTTGGGGATTTCAGAATTGTATCTGATTTACACTTTTGAAAAAATGCTTTCCTGGAATCACCCTGAAGAATGGCACTGAGGACATTAAAGAAATCAGGAGACAACCAGAAATCAAACATTTGTAAGAATGACAGCATCTCTTCAGGTGGCTTTACAGCCCACAGAAACCAACGAAACAAATTCTCACCATTTTCTTTCCTGAAAACCAAAATTTCATGCAGTGACAGCGGTGCAGCCAGAGGAACACGGCTGTTACTTCAAAAGTAGAAAGTTACTTTGAAAAAAACAGAAGTACCTCTGATAAAAATATTTTACATCACAAAATTACAAAGCATAACTTGTTTTTAAAAACAAAAATTTAAGGTTTAAGAATTAGCCCTTAAAACTTTCACCAATACCCAGCTGTAAGTTTAAGAAGTCATGAGCAAGTGCTCCATCAAAGACAAGTTATCTTGTGACCAAAGCCTGATTACTCTGGGCATTGCTAAGGGAAGCTCTAGAAGTGGGTGGCTGGTTGGACGGCAGAGAAAAACGGGCTCGTACTTGGTGAACCAAAGCTGAGAGCATTGGGGGTGCTTAAACTTCGGCCTCCAACTCTGGCAGTAAAGGGCATGTCTTCATCTTGGGCTCGGAAATCCTCCTCGTTTGGTGGCACCATCAGACAGACGTAAGTGTGAAGCTGAATAAGAAGCCGGTGTTGGAGCATCCATATCACCATTTGAATGAGCTGAGTCTGCAGAGTGAGAAAGGAGGTATTAAACACCCGTGAAATAAAATAAGAGAGGAAAACAATGCACAAAGGTTAGGCTTTGTGAGTAAGAAGTCACAAGGAGAAACGCTTTCCACCCCACACACCATTTTTCTCTCTTCTCCAATCACAGAAAGGCCACCAGGCACACACGTTCATCACACCCAAAGCCTTTGCAGATGCTTAAGCTGTAATCAAACCTTTAATGACCAACATGTCTTTATGCAACACTGACCAACACAGAGTCCCCAAAGGCACCAGCCCTGCCCCTTGCCATGGCTGCTCTGTTCCAGCCCAGCAGCTGAATGCCCTTACCACCAAATGTGGTCATACCACCCCACCTGGAGCTGTTTGGTCCTCCTTTAACAAAACAAGCTTAGTAGGTGCTAAGATGATGGGATGGTCTTCTGAGAGACTGGACATGGGTCAGGCAGATGCAGGCCCTGATGTCCACGGGCCCAACAGCATGAGCCCCAAGATCAGTTTACTGGTTTCTAAACAAGACCCTCCTCTGTGGAGACCTTATAGCAGCCTTCCAATGCCTAAAAATGAGTCAGGCAGATGCAGGCCCTGATGTCCATGGGCCCAACAGCACGAGCCCCAAGGTTTTTAAACAAGACCCTCCTCTGGGGAGGCCTTATAGCAGCCTTCCAATGCCTAAAGGGGCCTTACAGGAGAAATGGGGAGGGACTTTTTATCAAGGAGTGGAGCAATAGGATGAAGAGTAACAGTTTTAAACTGAAAGGGGGGAGATTTAGGTTAGATACTAGGAAGAAATTTTTCACTATGAGGGTGGTGAGAGCCTGGCCCAGGTTGCCCAGAGAAGCTGTGACTGCTCCATCCCTGGAGGTGGTCAAGGCCAGGTTGGACAGGGCTTTGAGCAACCTGGTCTGGTGCAAGGTGTCCCTGTGCAGGGCAGGGGGGGTTGGAACTGGATGGTCTTTAAGGTCCCTTCCAACCCAAACCATTCTGTGATTCTATGAAAATCACTAATCACTGAAGGGTTAATCCCAGAATAGTCAGAATAAAGGTTGGGTTCCTCAAGAAAGCCAGGGAGAGGGCAGGGTGACAGGGCAGAGCTGAAGCACCAAGAGAGGTACCCAGAAGAAGGAACCGTTTGCTGTCAGATGGGAAATTGCTGCAAAGACTCTGGAGATCAAACCCTACCAGGACTCAGTGATGCAGAAACAGCACTAACAGCAGCAGAAACCTTGGCAAGAGCCAGCAGCCTGTGGCTGCCAAGGGGTCCTCTCTCAACCCAAAGGCTTAATACCCCCCATTTGCTCACCATCCCTCTGGAATAAAGGACGGGTCAAGCTTATAAAGGCACGCAAGTTTTCAGGGTGCGCACAGGCACGAGTTTCAGAAGTGCTGAGATGACACTGATAGTACACAAAAAGGCAAAACTCCCTTGTGTTCCAGCAGCTGAAGACCTGCACAATGCCACCAGAGCGATGCTGGAAGCAGGGGACAGAGCAAGGAACCAGCACTTGTAGGTTCTTGGCGTGGCCTCCTTACAGGAGTTCTGGAGGAGTATTCAAAATGCATCATCACGTCTGAATTTCTGCACAAAAAGCCTTTTCATATCACTGTAGGCAACCCTTCCCATAGCCAACAGCTCTGAACACACTGATTCACTGACAAAAGCTGTTTGGGGATTTCATAGCAACCAACACTGTTTTGGTGAGAGAAACACTTGCAGAATGAGCTCAGACTCTGCGAAGGAAGCTTGCTCTGCTGGATTAATCATCAGGATAACGGGCCAAATCTCAATAAAAGCCCCAAACCGAAGTTCATCAGCCCACATAATTTTCCTTTTTCCATAAATCTTATAATTTTCAGTTCCTCCTCTGCTATCAAATCACAAAAGAAACATCTTCTGTTTGCAGACAGAGCCACACCCTGTCTTTTCAGGGATTACTGCTTTTTGGGGCTGAACGGACTTTAATCTTAAAACATATTATCTGGGATCGCCTTCAAACATATCCTTTTTGGAAAAGCCATAATTCATTTTATATGTTTAATAGAAAATCTACAGAAGAGGAAGGTTGGCAGAAGATACCAAATGCATAATATTTTGCTCACATCTGAAATCAGCCTGGAAGAGGGAAGAGGCTTACTCCGATGATTACGTTGCTAGAAACCTTCCTTCCAGATGCAGGCCTGGATGGAAAGATGAGATGTCTCATATATTTTACTTAAATTTCCAACCTGCTGGCAGGCAGCAGCGTCTGATTAGCTGGTTTCACATCAAATGAAAGTGGTCTGCACTTTTCACAGCACAAAGCAAGCCTGGAAAAATCCAAGGAGGCAGTAAGACAGGCTCTGCCAGTCCTGCAGAACCTGCCGGGTGGGGCCTGACCCAGATCAGCCTCTACTGGTCACTGGTGGTTCCATGAATTACAAAACCAACCGGTTGCTTTCCTTACAGCTCTGTGTGCATGGAAAGTGTTATCCAACTCTCTCTAATTCTGCATAAGCACCTTCACCTCTATGCTCTCGTGCAAACATCTAGGAAGCCACCCCTGTTCCAGCAGCTCTGGCTCAGAGGAAGAAGCAGCCGGGCCAAAGTGGGGTTACTGTGGTGCTTCACAAGGGTGATGTTGCACAACGATGGCCAAATGCCTTTGTGCCACAAGCAGGAGAGCTGGAGATCAGTTGGTACTAACTTGAAAACTAGAGAAAACTGTTCTGCCTTATTGAAGTGAGCCTGAATGATCCCTAGATGAGAGAGAATGGTGATCACTGAGGGTTAACTATACGCTAGACTCCAGTGGAAATTTGCTGAAAATCTAGCCCTATAGAAAAGCCCAAGCAACGCAGCGTCCTGCACTGTACCCGAAGTGGCACACTTTGTGCCATCACTGCAAACATGCTTCACACCACCGTTTCCACTTTGTCCTGCCCACACATAAATACCTTTTCCAGGTTTAAACCTATTTCTTACTAAAAGCAGCAAGTGTTTTCACAGATTCAGTCTAGCAGAAGCTTTGCTGTTATGTTTTGCTCTTGCTGCTTGTCTCTGGACATGAACACTGAATTTACATCCATTCTCCATCTGCTCCCCTTGATGGAGCTTCCAGACAGATCTGCAGGAGAGAAGGCTTCCCGGCACCATCTGCGTTGCTCTGTCTGTTGGAAATGCTCTTCCTCCCTCAAAGATACAGGGTTATCTTGGTGCTTGGTCTCAGCCTACTCAATTAGCTGGGCTCCTTGCTGAAGCCAAAAAGGGCTAAGCAGCTTCCCAGGCAAGGCTCCAGACTGCCTCCATCACTCAGGCATCATCTGGCACTGTAGGAAGCCACAGCCAAGCCTTTTTTGGCTGAAACACCGGGACCGTGACGGAAATATAAAAGGAAACATTTTTCGTTGCTTAATTTAACTAACAATCAACTTTAAATTTCATCCATATTCCTTTAATCCTTCCCGTCTCCCCATGCTGCCTCTTTCCAGAGGGGTCCTGTCTGCGGCAGCATCTGGACCGCTCCTGCTGGCACGGATCTGTCCCCTTTCTGTCCCCGTCCCGCAGCGCAGCGGGGTGAAGCTCGAGCATGTTGTCATGCAAAGGCGGCACGGAAGGCGCTGGTAACAATGCACCGCTTTGTGCTTATTGACAAAAGCAGGGAAGAACATGAAAACATGGGCACTACACGTCAGCCCATCTGGGACAGGCAGAGGAAAGCTCAGCCCCAAGTCTCGGAGGGACAAGATCCAGCATTCATTATTCTCATCCCTCTGGGAATCAAAGGGAGCATTTGTAAAACTCTTGAGTAACGCGTTAAATAAAATGCATTTCCTGCAAGGATTCTTTAAGGCTTTTTTCTTTCCTGGGCCTAAAAGCTATGGAAACCATCAAGATTACTGGGGACTAGCAACAGTCAGAGGAAAGCGAAGGGAAAAGAGCAACCCAGAAGCACTCAATCCTGGCTTGTTTCTCACCACGTGAGGATACCCTCTGAGTTAAAGCACAGCTTGTTTGGCCTACCCAAGTATACGAGCCCCTTTTCTCCAGTCTGGACTAACTAGTTATTTAACATGTGAATATTTCAAGGCCTGACCTGAGAACTAAGCGCTGCCTTGGCTCAGCAGGACAGCACCTCCAAAGCTGCCAGGGAAATGGATGTTTGCTGAAATACATTAAGTTTCTTTATCATTCAAACCACACTGTTTTATGAAATGAAGCTAAGCTATTAAAACTTCTCCCTATTTTACAGAAAACAAAGGCCCCTGTTAACATAGGACAAAACATTTATTGTCTAATATTGTTGTTTTAATCATCGTGTAACAGCTCTGAATTCTCACTTTGCTGAGAGCACTCAACCATTCCCTCTGTTTAGGCCTAGAAAGCCATATTTTTTTAACATGCCACACCGAAACCCCTTGATTTTATACCTAGTCCAACTGAATATAAATGTGCCTTAATACTACTTCCATACCTCTGCCAACAAAAGCTCCCGTAACTCTTAATGCCTTCCAGATGCCCAGCAGAAGAGTCTCACAGAAGACACAACTGGCTGTTGAGGATTTGCCTGCAGCTCTCCTCCCACCCCATCCCCTGACACACACGCTCCTTTTCCACCCAGCTCTTGCACAAAGCACGGCACGTTTCCCGGATGCGTAAAGCAGAGCCCTCCTCTACCAGTGCTCTTGCTCCCAACAGGACAGCCAGGCTTATTAAAACAAAAAGGAAAAACTAAACATATTTTGCTCAGCTGCAGCTGTCATACTTTCCCATCTGGTTTTTTTCCAAAGTTATTCTAGCCCCATCAAGGGAGAATTAGATAACTACAATAATAACAACAATGTGCATTATGATAAAGAGCTATATTGTAGTGAAGTGGATGCAGAGAGGAAATGGGATGTCTAATTCCATAGGTACACTCCTCCTGCCTTATGGGTGGAAAGATCCCCCCTGCTAGTCCAGATTTGTTGCCTGAGGCAGGGTAGGGAGATGTTATACCTCCTTCTGAAACAGATGAAGTAGCTGAGGCCGTAATGCACAGAGGAGGGGAAGCCACAAGCATTATCCCCATCTCTGGGTTTGCAAAGAAATCTAGCGTAGAGTAGCTGGGTGAAGAAACTTTGATACTCTACAAAGAAAGCCTCACACTGAAAAGCACATTAAAGCATTCCCATGTAGCAACTGGAGTTCTCCAGTATGTCCCCAGTGCACACAGGCTGTCAATGAACGTGTGCTGAGCTAAAGGTTTTAGGTCTCCAAGTATTTCTGTGCATTCACAGGAGGTTCCGAAGGGGTGTGCACCCCACTGAACCCCACCAGAGCTCCCCTCTGCTCTGCTCTGTGGTCACATCAAGGCTGTGCCACACAAGCAAGAGGAGAGGACAGGGACAGGAACAAATAACTACAGGCAGCAGAAGGAAGGACAGCTTCTTTGGGAGTGGGATAGAAGAGATGCATATTCTTTCTTTTCCAGTAAAACACTAAAAGGGAAGATGAGTTTCCCTCTTGTATCAGCTCACCAGATCTCCTCACCCCATGGCTGCACCCTGATGAGATCCAGCACCAGCAGCATGAGCTGAACTGGCTGGTGTTCAGGACAGTCCCAGGCTGCACTGGAAGGCAGCAAGTCCAGATGATGCTGCACAGCACAGGGGAGCCAACGGACAACTCGCCACGGTGAAAAGGGGAAAGTCACTTCTGCTTTCCTCGCCCACATCTCCCACTGCAGAATCACCTCCCTCATTCTGTGCCAGCCCTGGAGCTTGCTGGTTTCCCCCCCTGAGCAATTCCCACCTGCCAAGCCAGCAGAAAGCTAGTGTGGTGGAAACAAGAGAATAGAGCCGAGTGGGACAGGAGCCAGCTCTAGTGTAAAGGGAAGAGGGAAAGGAGGGAGGTGTGTGTGCACACACCTGAGAGTGGGAAGGAAAAACAAGGCCTCCTCTCAGCAGCACCGAGATATCGTTAGATCATCTGAGCTGTGGGTGTGGGCTCATCCTCAGGCTGCTGCAACACTGCAAGCCAAGCAAGGCAGGTTAAACGCAGAGAAAGGGAAGCTGGCATAGAAATCACTACACCAATACCAAAACCTTTTCAAATTGCAAGCACAAGACTATGGATAGATACACAGCAACCAGAGAGTTCAAGCCCAATACACTGCTTGTCATCGCAGGCAAGAAAGGAGATCAAGAAGAAGGGCTCAAGAAAAATTCCTTCCTCTGGCAGAGGGTAGGCTGGGAGCAGTGGCAGCGCTGGCACACGCCTCGCACTGGGCATCTCCCACCTACCGACAGACAGACACCAAAAGCAGAATGTAGACATGCACTCTTGTCCTTGTTTTCAGGGTATTTCAGGTTGTTTGTACCTCATACCAGCCAAAAAACACCACAGCACCCCAAGTATAAAAATGCCAGCGTCACAGTGTTTTCACCCACCCAAAGGAATGGAGCAACTCCACCCTTCCAACAGGAATCAAACAAAAGTACCTTCATCCTCTTTCAAACCAGGCAGCACGACCTGGTATAAAAACAGGAGGAAAGGCCCTTTAACAGTTTTCCTATGTTGTATTGTGGACTTTATTAATGCCTTCCGTGTGCTCTACCCATCCAGAAGCACGGGCCAAAAGGAGGAGGACAATCCCATGCTTAAGACAAGAATCAAATGGGATGGACGCCATGAGACTGTAACAGCCTCTGCAGAAAATAAAGCCCTTCCCACAGCCCTGACCTTCCAGCACAGATGACCTTCAGAAATACAGAGACAGTACAGTCCGCCCGATGAAAAGCACCAGATAGCACACCACTAGTGAAAATCTTCAAAGTTAAAAAAACAACCAGCCCTACTCCCCTCCTGAGTACACAAAGAATAAAATTACAGTGAGAGGTCCCAACTTGTAAATTTTTTTCAAGGGCAAAGCAAATACAATTTGACAATATTTACAGTTCACAGTACAGCATCTTTTATCGCTGCACAGCGGAACAAAAACCCACCCACATTTCATCAGATTAATTGCTCTATCGACTAGATCTCTGTTAATTACAACTGGAGCCTGACCACCTCAGGATAGGGACTGGATTCATGGATTCATCTCTATTAAAAAGCTAGTTCCAAACAAAACAATAACAAAGTTCAACACAGGTAAATCAGCAAGAGTAGAAGAAAATACCTTTCCTACATTAATGTATTGATATGAAAACATCTAAAAACTGCCTCTAATGTAAACTTCAGTAGAAGAAAATACTTTTCCTACATTAATGTATTGATATGAAAACATCTAAAAACTGCCTCTAATGTAAACTTCCCCCAGAACCGTCTCATTTGGCTTTATCAGAAGGAAGCTTGCCACGACTGCCAGCAGCCCCACCAGTGGGTGGTGTCTGCCCCATCTTCATGCACGTGTCTTGGCAACACGGCCCCGAGTCTTCTGCAACCCCAGTTCTCAGCTCCCCTTTTCAGACTGTGGAAGGCCCTTCCGTAGCTTTGCACAGGATCGTCCTTCATCCTTCCCCACCTGCTGGAAGGAGGATGAAAACAAGCCGTGCTGTTCACCTTCAGGTCCCACCACGGACAGGAGAGCCCCAGAAAGAAGACACACACACTATGAAGGAGCCATTTTAGCACCCCAACAGCTCTGGAAAACACTGATTGAGCACTGGGGTTTCAAAGCATAATTGCAGCACTTTATTTGGTATTTTAAACCAAAGTAGGATGTCTGAGAACAGTCAAAAGTATTGAAGGAGAAGTATTAAGGCAAGTAATTAATTTAAAAATTAGAATAAGACTGCTTCCTGAAGCTGGTGCAGCTAGAATAAAAGTAATTATACTAATTCAGCTTCAATTTTCAGGACACAGAGTAGTCTATAACTACAACAAGGAACTGACAAAATGGTAGTGCCTGCTCCTCCCCTGCCTCCCAAGGTGGCAGCTGACCAGTACATACTATTGGAATTAGACGCTACATCATTAGTTATCTTTATCTCTGATCATAATCTCTGCCAACCTGTAATTACAACAAATTCTTCTCTCACAATTGTGCCTGTGTGCGCAATTGATGTTAATCTGCCAGATATATCAACAGCGGCTCATTTCATACAGCCAGCAAGTCACCCAAGTATGAAGGCTAGCAAACAACACGGCAAGAAACCAGCTGGAGGAATCTGCCCGTGCTCCCTTTGCCACAACGAGCCGTGCCTAGAGGTCCAAGCTTCTTCATCTGGGGATAGAGCAGTGTCAGCCAGGAGACCTCACGTTACTGAGCTCTTTCTTGCATTTCACCAGTTCCCAGAAATGCCACAAGCAATGATCTCTGTCTAAGCAAAACAGGAGCACACAAATCCCAAATCCGTATATTATTACCCCACATCTGAACGTTAGAATGCTAACGCTGGAACACAGGGACTTGTGTTGACTCCACGCTGAGTCTACTTCCTGTAACAGCCTTTAAACAATTCCAGTTTCAAATCCAAAGCTAAGTGAATAGACAGTTTGCTCTTAAAACTAGATTGTCAACTTAAAGCAGATGGAATATAATAAAATTAAATGGGATTGTGAGGAATCCACAAACTTGCACTGAGCCATGCTAATTTATGAGAGTTTTCAACAGACCAAATGGAGTTTCAGTTTTCCCTACTCTACCACTCCAGGAAAAGAAGCATTCTGGTTTTTCTTTTGGGTCTGTGCTTTGCTAGCACAGAGCATCTGCACAGCTTCACCTTGAACACCCCCACAGCTTTTTGGCATGTGGGTATGAAAAAACGAATCATATGGTTGGAAACCCAGTAATTGGCAACTTCTAAACCCGCAAGAGCGGGTTCCTGAGGAGGTACTCCAAAAGCAACACCATTCCTTGTTCTCATCAGCTGGAGAAGGAGCAGCTCCTGTGCACTCCCCATCTCACCTCCTGAACAGGCGGCGCGAGTGGATTCTTGAACTCTGAGAGTGACACTGGGAGGGAGAACTTGGAAAGCATCGACGGCAGGTTGTGGCCCCGGAACTGACAGGAAAACGCATCTGCTAATGGTGAGTAACTACAGAAAAGAGGGAAAGGCAGAAATCAGTTTTATATTGCTGGTCAGCGTAACATTTATCCATTTAAGCATTGCAGAAGTGCCAATTCCCAAATGAAATATTCTCTGTGATCAAGAAAAACAGTAAGGATAGTTTATGGCATGTTGCATCCTGCAAAAGTAAGCAAGAAGCACATGCACTTTCATCTTGGCGTTACATTCAGCTCCAGCACATTATTCAAGGTGTGGAGGGAATCCAGAGGAGAAAAATAAAAATTATAAGAAGTCTAGACCTGCGCAGTCTCTGATCAAAGGAACAGGGATTGGGCAGTCTGGAGAAGACAGGGATGGGCAGGAAATACACACAATCTTTGAATATGCAAAATGCAGCTGCAGATGTGACTGTTCTCCCTGCCTATGCTGGCAGGACACGCAATGTGACTGATCAGAAGTAAGGGAAAGTCAAGTTAAACATTAGGAAAACTGCCTGTATTAGGATTGCCATCTACAAAAGTCTTCAAGAAGCACTGCCATATATGACAGGCACAGTTGTTCCTGAATGACCTCAAGGTCCCTTCCAGCCCTATTTTTATACCTCCATCACAGAAGTTTTGATTTAAAACTATTTTCCTAAAACTGAGTTCCAACACAGACTCTAAAAACATCTCAAAATCCAACAGAGAAAGGGTTGCCAATCTTTAGCAGAGCAAAAATACCCACTCTGCTGCCTTCACATCTTCCCTGTGCTGCTGCTGCCTGCTCTCAGAATGGCTGTGTTGCCTTCTGCCTGCAAGAAGGCATATGGATATGAAAAAATGAAACACCATCACATGAAACAATGCAATAGTGATAGCAACACTACCCTGACTTGATACTTTTGATTAATTTCAGGTGATGCTGGGTGCCAGATGAAACACTCCCTGATTTAACTTAATCATAAAGTGTTTTGTTTTGTAAATGTTTCCATATTGCATCAGGCTCAAACAGCCTTTCTGACATGGACATTCAGTGAGCAAGCATACTAAAAATACCAAAAGTAGCTTCACGGGGTAAATATTGCTTCCAAGGCCCCCATCACTGCACAAGCATGTTGATCTGCTCCGGTGTCCGTTCCTACCGCACACAAACTCCTATAGATCCTACCCTAGGAAGAAAAATCCTACCCTATATCCAGCAAGACAGGGAAGGAAAACAAAACTGCCCTTCTCACCACCTTCTTGCTACAGTCACTTGCTTTCCTTCTACTTACAGGCAGACGCTGGCATTTGGAGAAAGCATGTAGACATTGTTTTCACACAGCGGATAAATAATAATTGCTTTTCCCCAGTAAACGAGATGTGCAGCAAGCTGGAAAACCTGCATTGAGGAAACGGGGAAAAATTAGGAGAGCAAAAAAGCAAAACTGAAAGTCTCAGCAAGAGTTCCACACAATGATAGAGAAGTTTTGCTTGAGCTGAAATGAAAGAAAAATGTTCCATCCTTTCACCCTGCCTTCAGAATAAATTCAGGGTTTAATATAACATGTGGCACATCAAAAAGCATTTGACAAGGTTATGGATTTCCAGAGGTTTGATTCACATTTCTAAGCAACTTAGTATTTCCTGCCTTAACAGAATTTCTTCAAACTGCATCAACAGAAGTTTAGCTACTTTTCATGCCCCAAAAACCTATTCTTTTTTATGCACAAAATGCATTAAGTGTTAACACATGAAAAATGAAACGAAAGAATCAGCCTCTACCATGACAAAAACATAAAGGAAACCAACACTGCCTTTTTAATGCACTGAGGTATTTCAGTAATGAGTTACACAAAATATTTTAATGTGTTAAACAAGTCAGTGGTTGTTAATGACTCTGGAAGAGCCACATAAATAGCATCTCTGAGACATAAAATCCAGCCTGTATCATTAGATGCATTTAAGTTTGCTTTTTTTGTATAGAACAAACCTACAGGAGCAGTAGGGAATTTCCAGAGTTCATCCCATAGCTATATACTGCCAAGTAACACCACAGGCCACTGTAAGCAGACCTGGAAATTTTATTACAGAACAGGACCTTTCCCTTTGAATAAGAGAAGGCATGGACCTATGATCAGGAACATCTGAGAAGACAAGCTGTGCTCTTCTCTGAGCATAGATTGCATCACTCCATCTGATTCGACCCTTAGAAGCACAGAGTGGCTTCTCCCCTCTCCCGTATCATCTAATATAACCATCAGGCCCTTCCAGCAAAGGGCCAGGATGACCACAGTCTTCTGCAGTGGTCTCTCCATGGCCTTGTGTCCCACGTGATTCCCAGAGTCTCATTCCCACCTCCCTTTCCAAGGGCCTGTCACATCACTCTCAACAATTCAGATTTGAAATCTGGTTGTCAATCCCAGAAAGGCATTCAGAAGAGCTGCTGGCTTGGAGACTGGCTCAAAAATTTTGCCCAAACCAGAGTTTCTTCCTGGGACCTTGCAAAGTCTGTGTGCTGATGTACTAAGGAAATGGATGGGTAGGTTTGCAGAGGCTTTCAGAGCTCCTTACTAGATAAGATCTTGGCAGATCCAGGGAAAGCAGCAGTATTTGGCCATGGCAGCTGTAAGCCTTCACTTGCATTTTGGGTGCCTCTATTTGCACAAAGACATCAATGTGGTGGAACCAAGACAGACCCCTGTGGCATAAGCCAAGAGTACTATTTGTTCTGGTTTTAACTACCGAACAGGAAGGCACAGAGAAGACAGAGCCACTCTTCTCAGAGGGTCACCGGGACAGGAGGCAACACACAAGGCAGAAGATGGAAATTCCCATTAGGTACAAGGAAAGTTTTTCATCCTGATGCTGGTCAAACGCTGGAGAGAGAAGTTGTGGGCGGTATCCCCTGTGGGCATTCAGAATTTGAACAGCCCAGTTCCTCAGCAGCCTCCTTTAATGGACTTGCTCTGAGCAGTGGTGTGGACTGGAGATCTCCAGACACCCCTGCTACCCCACAGCAATCCAGGATTCAGATGTGGCCACAGGAGCACCGTGGCTGCACCCCTGCCCTTCATCTCTCCAGCCCTTCCCCAAGCTCTAAGGCTCACGCTTCCTCCGAGCGCTCTGCTCACGGCGAGAGAACCGATGTGCTCACGGCCCACAGGAACCCACCGGCACACAGGAAAAAAACACCAAGTGAATTAAAAGAATTTCAGCTGCCCCCGTACCTGCAGCAATGCCAAGTCAGCATCTTGAGCCAGTTGCTGCAAATTCTTCACAGCAGAGGTAGTTTTAATTACTCTCACCAGGGCAGGAGAGCAGTCCAACGGGAGCTCATTAAGCAATGACTTCTCATCATTTAAAAGTAATAAGGCATGGTACGGCCTGCAGAAAAAAGGAATACATTTGCACAGTAAACTGTAACTTTTCCTGAAGGCTTAGTTATTCCCAGGCCATTATACCTGGTCAATCTACTTGTAAAAAAGAACTTTTAATATCATCCTTTTGCTGTAAGTGGCTGCAGAATAAGCTTGGTTTTGTGTCACAAGATAAAATGCTCCCCATAAAAGGGGGCTAGAGGGTTATATAGTAACTGGATGATCTAGTGACTAGAAAAAAAATGACTGCACTGTGCTGGCATACAATTAAGCCTGGAGAACTAGTCTGAAAACTGCTTATCTGCATTACTGAAATGCAGAATAGAGTAGAAGAAAGGCAGAAAGCAAGAATTAGTTACTTTTGGAGGTAAAAAAATGTAAACACGGAGAGCAGGAAATAAGATTATCATGGGGCCTGGGCTGTCTTTCTTCTAAAAGCAAAATTAATTCTGAGTCAACAGATTAAAACGAACACGCCATTCCTCTGACTGGAAGCAGTGCAGACCTCTCTGGTAACATCACCTCCCATTTTCAGTACAACCACCCAATGCTAACCCAAAAAGGCTGTGGCTTCCCACCCCCCCACACACAGCAGCACCGTGGTACCTTGGCATCACCTTCAGGGAGTCCTGTCTGAGCCCACGTCCCCACCACCTCTAACTACAGCTCAGCATCATGTCACCCCCCAGCTCTGCCAGCACAGACGCTTGCAGCTTGGAACTGGACCATCCTTGGAACTGGAGGAAGGACCATCCACACCCTGAGGGACAGAGCCTGCTCTTACCTGATAGACTTCAGGCTTCTCTCGATTGCTTCCGGGGGTATAAAGTTTGTGGCAACATAATGGATTTTATGAGGCAGGCAGAAACTCACTTCCAGCCAGTTGTTGATATGTAAACGGACCACCCCTGTTGTGCAGAGACTGAAATAGGAAGAAAATAAATACACACAGCATTTACAATGTATAATAGATGTAAACAGTGGTCCACATTAACCCCTGCACAGGAATTGCACCAGGAGGAGAAAAGTCTGAATGTCCCCCGTCTGTCCCCAGCCTGGCTGAGGAGCAGCTGAGTCCTCGCTGCCAAGGCTTCCTTAGCTTGTATTTATAGAGCATTATCCCCTGTGAGGATCTGGGGGGATTTGAAAGACTTCTCCTGCTGCTCTGCTCCTCTGCTCTTAACAATGCAGCAGTATCTCAAGTTAAAAGACTTTCTTGAAGATCTACTGCAAAGTACCAGAAAATTCCCCAGACCAGAGCTGCAAAGGGCAAAGATGAATTGGGCGTAATGTTTTCATCACCAATTTCCATCCTCCTCTCCATGAGGAGAGAAAAGGAGATGTCCGTACTGGGCAAGAAGTGTTTCAAGCAGCACGTTTCCACAATAACCAACTCTTTCAGTTCTGCTTAGGTGGTTTGTTTCCTACCAACCTGCTCCTGCTCGTCACATGAAATCACAAATGTGCCTTTTAAATGGTTTCTTCGTTCTAGGAAACCGCAGGGACTAAGCTAAGCCTTTAAGCTGACTTCAGACAACGGGACCGGAGTGGAAATGATGGATGTGTCAGCAATGACAATGAAGTCTGACCCTCGTGTTCAGCCTGAAAGCATCTATAAGCCTCTTTTACTGAAAAAAAACCCAGCAAGCTGGAGATTAGAGCAATGAACGTCATTCAGGTAGTTTTAAAGAAGTCTGTAAATCTAGACAACAAATTAAATATACCTGGGTAGGTAACTCTATTTATTTTAAAGTGGGTGAAGATACTCGAAGGGTAACATACCATTGGGAGATAAGCTCCACCGTGCAAACCTCTCCAGCACTGCCCAGCCAGCAGGCAGGGAACACCAGCCTGGGAACAGCTCCACTAGAGCCAGTGGGACCCCAAAGGGAGGAAGAGGCAGGATCCAGAGCATCTTTTCACATATACTCAGTTAGGAACAAATACAAACTTTTAAATCAATCTTAAGGAATAGCTAATCCTGTCTGCACTGGAGAGCTGAAGTCCTTTGATTTTAAACTTGTTCCAGAAGAATTTTTTGGAGCCTAAAATAAAATCTGGGGGCCTAAAATAAAATTTTGAAGTTTGCATTCAAAAATTCAAGTGTGCTTAGACTCACAATATGACAATATTCCCCTCTACACCAAACAGATTTAAACACATACCAGGAACTGGCCAGGAGCAAATACATGTCTTGGAGTCTCTTTATGTGGCCATTTAAATACCTATACCTAGCCTTCATTTGTAGGCCACAAACTAACATGCTCTTTTTCAAGTTCATCTGGTTGCATACAGGGTTTTGAGAGACCTGAAAATTCAGCTTTAAAACAAAAGCATTGGGTAGCTCTGGCTGCCGGTGTAACGATTCACCAAACCACAACAGAGCGGTGAGAGAGCGAACACGATCCCATCCTGCCTCGTGCATAATCAGACTCATTAGGGGAAATCTCACGGCAGACAATGCTTTTCTAAAGCAGAGGCCGTGGTTCTGTTCTCAAATCTTGTACTGACCTCCGAAAAATATTGATTTTTCAAGCTGTAAATGAAGCAGATACTATATATGTTCTCCTTTTTTAAAAAAGGAACTGAAAGGACAAAACCACTCTCTCTGGTGTTACCAGCTCACATCTGATCAGAGGCTCCAAACCCCAAAGGAACATGCAAAGCACAGCAAACACCTCTGTTTTTCTTGCATTGAATCCTGCAACTCTGGTAATGCTGCTTATCCCACCAGCCATACTCCAACTGACAGATAAAGCTGGATTCTCTCAAAATACATCAAGGTAAAGGGATCCTGAAGCAGCAGTTACTCACGGTATCTGCTGGGCCAAGCACCCAGAAAAGAAAACCTGACCATAAATGAGGGGGACAAGCCAGCTAAGAGACTGCGTGGAAGCTATTGGGGTTGATAAAAAAGGTTACTGAAAACAAGCAGAGATACGTGAAAACATGAAACACTTGCAGGGATATTTTCCCTGCATAGTTTAACATTCAGGAAACAGAAAGAAATACAGTTGGTTCCTTTCATTCTTTGGTCCAAGTGCACCAAGGCAGAAGCTTTAATTAGATAATTACACTCTCCTCAGCATGATTTTGTCTACAGTGCACTATACAACAATAGCCTAGAATTAAAGACAACAAGAAAACCAGATTTTCAGTTCTGATCTGAATCTTAATTTCATTCTTCTACATTTGCATTCAACTGTACAATTTCAAGCCTTCATTATAGCTTTATGTACATGATTTCTCCTTCACCTGCACCTTCCTGGATGGAAAATAATTTAAGTTTCTAGGAATTTGACAAGGAAGAGGCTATACCTTCCAGCAGCTATGTATGCCACTGCCCTTACCCAGCCAACAAAGTTAAATCATTTCACCAATATACACGCAAAGATTCATGCAACATGAAATATAGTCAAGTGAAGTTTAGAAAGTATAGAAGTATAGAAAGTGAAGTTTGGATCCACACTTACCTTCATTTTTACAGATTCTCCATGAAGTCATCTATTTAGCAGGGTTTTTACTGTGAGCCTCACAAATCCCCATGAGCCTGCCTCAAGCTCTTTGGCTGAGGACCAGCAAAGCCAGAAGCCACTTTCTTTTAGGGGCAGAAGTAGAACAGCAAAAACCAGCAACAGAAGAGAATACCAAGAAAACAAGTTTTCAAAGTGGCGTTAGGGAGTCACCTAGCTCCAATTCTGCTTTATTCTTCTTAACCAACTAAAATTGTGGAGCAAACAGTCAAGGAAGACACAGGACTGTGGGAAGGTGAGAAACTGCATCGGCTGCAGTGCACGTCCTGAACCTCAGGGGCCCAGTTCAAGTATTTCCCAAGAGGAAACCTAAACCCCCCCCCTTTGACTGCGGGGGGGGTCGGACTAGATGACCTTGAAGGTCCCTTCCGACCCAGATGATTCTATGATCCTAATTGCACAAAGCTGGATGGGGTTTTGAGCAACCCAGTCTGGTGGGAGGTGTCCCTGCCCACGGCAGGGGGTTGCAACTTGATGATCTTTAAGGTCCCCTCCAACTCTAACCATGCGATAATTCAAAAGTGCAGTAGATACACCAGGAATTTACAGAAGGTAAACCTTTGTTCTGCTCTTTGCTTGTTTCCTATCTACTCTTCACATTTTATGGGGATTTTTTGCAGTGTTACTGCACCCTGAGCTTTCTCACTGAACTATCTGCTGTAATTCCAAAAGCTCTTTTCAGAACAATTACATACTATGTAAGGGCTGATTGGCCTTACATGTGGTACATCTCTCTATACTGAATTTCCTCTGCTGTCTTATCAGACTGGTATCCAGAGACCTTGCTGCAACTTCTCCTTTTTCCCCACAGGCTTCAAGAGTAACTGGGCAAAACCAGCTTCATTCCCCATACTCTCACTGGCTACTAAACCCTCAAAGACATTCCATTTTATCCCACAAAAACTTAGTTTCAATGCTTTTTTTTTCTCCATTTCTGGTTAGATAATACATGATGAGTGATACTGAGGGACACGTGACAAGAGATTAGGATACTAGGAGGGGATATCATCATCTAAAATTAGAGAGAGGGAGAAGGAAATACGAAAAAGCTGTTCAATGTCTCTCCATCATAAGACCTAATGATACCAAAAGGAGCAAAGTTCAAAAAGAAACAGAAAGAAACACAGAAGTTAGTTAAGCCATGGACCTCCTTATCAGAGGATGTCATGGCTATTAAATATTTACTCTGGCTCAGGGGACTGTGGACCAATTCCGGGAAGTGAGATCAGCTGAAGGCTGTTTAATATACAGAAACCACCTCCAGAGCTGCAAACTGCAGGAAGCTGGGGAATATTTGGGGGAATATCGCTGCTCTTTTGCTCTATTCTTCTGCTCCATCCTGAACAGCAACTGTGAGCCGCTGCCCCAAAATGGGAACCCAAAACTTGGCTAGTATCCCACAGAATTGCAGCCTTTGTTTTTTTCATTACTATTGGCAAAGACAATTTCAGCTCATTTTGTAAAAGGGTTATGAATTTTTACATACACACACACCTCATTTTATGTCTATCCTATTTATATCTGAAATTAATAATACATTAATGAATTTCTAGTTTGGTGTGGGTGAATTTTGGAGTTTGTTTATTTTGCTAGAGATTGTGACTACTTAAGAGCTCTGAAATTATTTCACATTTCCTTGTAAAGGACACAATGACCATCCTTTGGTCAGATAACTGGTTTGTATTTTATAGTACAACTACCCAAATCACATCTACCCAACAACTACCCAAATCACATCTAATTAAGTCTCATATAATTATTCCACTTCTCCCTGAGCTGCTGAGACAGGCTAGATCTACCAGTCAGTTCAAGCCCCACTAGGGTAAAAATGTATAAAGGCTCTTTGTGTATTAAAAAAAAGAAACAAACAATCCCTTCCTCCCTAAAAACCTCCCCATACTTTCACTTTTACTCTGATGTAAAGCTAAATTTGCTAAAAACAGGCAGGCAGATGCTAGTATCAAGCTAACATACTACCCCCAGTTGCAGATAGAACTTGGTGAAAGCTGCCTTAAGTCCCTACAATGAACACTGGATTAAAAGAGCCACCCATTGTAATTTGTCAGCACTGGAGGTACCAGCAGCTGGAGTCTCTTGGTCCTGAAGCCATTGCTTTTTGTTCCACCCCAATGCTGGAGTTTGGGGACAAGATGAATGAAGATTCCCAAATCTATTTTCTGAACTGAAGAAACATTCTGGTTTTCACCATATAGAGTCAAAAAAGGTCCCAGGAACTAGATGGTGATTACCTCTAAACTGTCAGTTTAATAATAGTGCTGCTGCATTAAAGCAGCAATAGCGTTACAGTCAAGGTGATCTGGCTATTGATTCTGGCCTTCTAAAACATGGGCATTCATTAAAAAACACAAGGGGGATTTTGAACTGCAAAGGGATTCATGCCCTTGTGCTTTTGTACAAACCAACTTTTTATAAGGGACGTGTTGGGTCTTGCCTGAAATACCTCAGCACCATCTACAGGAAACCAAGGGCTAGACAGCACCTCTGGAGCTACCCTGAGAGTTCAGGAGGCCTTTGGCTGGAACTGCAGAAATCAGCAGGCACTAGGAAACGCTGGCTTGAGTGAATCTCAGAGAGCTGGGGTTCCATCTGCAATTCAAAGTGCTCTCTCCGCTCTGCTGTTCCCCTATGCCAAAGGCTACGCCAGAAAGCTCTGCAAATGTAAAACAGCACATTGTCACTGCACGCATCTCAAAGACTTGCTGTTCCCAGCAGTCTTTTCTGCTCCAAAAGAAACAGACCAAATCTTTCCATCTTTCCTCTTAGGTCATTCTCACTCCTCCACACTCTCTAGGTGGCCCAAACTTCTTGAAATGTGGTGCCCGAAACTGGATACAGTGTTCATTACAGCAGGGGATTTACAATGCTGGCTTGTCCCCATCTTACAGACAAGGCTTTTATTTTATGCCTATCTATTTGCTTTTTCTGCAAACCCATGTCACTTGTGACCAACCCTCATTTCATAAAATACCACACAGACTTCACTCCAGAGCTACTGCCTCTCAGGAATTCTTCATCTTGGAGCTGCGGAATAAAAATCCTATTTCTAGACCATTTCTTCTAATTCACTAAAAAATTATTTTAATTCTATGCCTGCCTGGCAAGGTACTACTGCAGGTGTAATAAGCATATTTCATGTTCTCTCGTATGAAGCATTAATGGAAAAATATTGCAGAACACCATCTTACTACCCAGCCAGTCGACGACACTGCTAAATCCTCTGCATATAGAGCTTTCCAATCAAATGCACAGACATTTTATCGTTTTACCAACAGCTTATTTCTTAAATTTATTTATGCCAATGTCATGCAAAAGTGTCAAAATATAACTGGCACCACTTCTCCCTGACTCACAATGCCTAAAGGAGGGAGACTCTGCCTTATTTTACATCTGGGGGGCAGCACCTTTCTCTCCGTGGTCAGTCTGTTCCTCCCTATATGATGGAAGGGGCGTATCAGCCCGCTCTGTCTGCTTGGGCTGTGTGTTCCTCCAGTCACACTCAGTGCCACAAGATGTCACTGTGTCACTAAAATGTTTGGAAACGAGCAGGGTTTGCCCAGTCACAAATACATAGCCCTAGAGGAACAGAGAAAAGTAGTAGGTGAAGTTTAATATTAGAATTACAGGCTACATAATGTGTATATTGTTCAATACAACTCTCAACATTCCTTCCAAACAGGCTGAAATTCACAGCTCTTGAATACAACAAAGAACAGCTTAGAAGTTTTCTAATGTGCTTTGCAATCATTAAATTATTTAGGCTCTCGGTGCCCTACCTTACAGGGCTTTGCTATTATTCCCCTTGTACAAAGAGAACCACAATCCAGGGAGGCTAAAGGGTTTGTCTAGTATCATACGGTGTGCTTTACAGTCAATCAAGGAACTCAAGACTAATTTTCCCAAGTCCGGACCAAACACCCTAAATCAAGGGGCACATCATCTTCCTCCCCACCAAAACCTTCTGCGCTCCTTTGTCAAGGTCCTTCACCAAGTGCAGACCCTGATGGGAGGTGTCTGCTCCGCACGAGGAGTCGGCGCTGACAAGGTGTCACAGCAAAAGTGTGCGGCAGGAGGCTGGTGCCGGCTCCAGCTGAAATTCAACACTAACTCCCAGCACCTTTGAAATCCTTGCCAGAGCTTTTAATCCAGTCAAGAAACAGCACGTTACACTTTCCATTCTGCTGAAAGTCTCACCACCTCATCCAAATTCACTGTCCAGACATGCACAGCGTAACCAAATGAAGCCAGGGCAGTATCTGACTTGCCATCAGTGCTAGATGCAGCATTTTCCTCTTAGCTACAGGTTTAGAGTACTTCTACAGGGATATGATACTCATATTATGACACTTTCAATTCTACAATTCCTTTGTCATTATGTGGCTCTGTGCTAAGCAAGAAAATAATGATTATTAAACCTGTGACAGACATAACCAATTTTTAAGATCCATAATACGTCCGAAGGTAGACCAAGGTAGTGATGAGGATAGCAATTCTGCAAACATTGCACTCGACAGTGAGCCTTCACGTTGCTCTACCTGGTCTAAAAACCCAAATCCCAGTGAGTCAGCAGCATGAAGAGGTGGATAATACTCTAAGGAAAAAGGCCAAGAGGTTTCAGTGAGAAGCAGCCCACAGTGAGCTAAGAAGGAAACCCCACTCACCTGTCATATGTCTCTTTGAGATCTCTGGCCAGTTTGCACTTGGGTAGGATGTGATGAAAAGGTGACTGTGGCCCTTCCGTGGCTACGGAAAATTTCAGAAAAAGAAAGCAAACAACTGATTTTAAAGCAAAGAGAACTTCCTCTTCTCCCACTAGGTATCAACCAGTACCTTAGGGACAGAATCTGTATCATTTTAATCTACAATTATCTTTCAAAGCTTTTACAATAGCTCAAGCTACATGTTCAAATAATAATAATGAATTATTGCCAACTTCTCCTAAACCTCAAATCAGTGAAGCACATGTAACTGTGAATTTGACAAGTGATAATTTTAAGTGTTTTTGTTTTTGTACACGTTAGTTTTAATTTTTAATGCTCGCAGCAAGATAATGCATCACTGTCAGACAGAGTTCACCTTAAATAGAGCACATTATTAGAGTAAATTGCTCTAAAGTACAGCTCTAAAACTGCTCTGTAACTGTTTGCTTGCCACGGTAACAACATGTAAGAGTAAGGTTTCCACAGAAGCAGCCTGGTGACTCAGCACACAGCATTAAGGCATGGGAAACCTGCTCTAGGTTGGGTGAAGCAGGTGACACGCGAGTTCTTCCATCTCAGCCTGACAGGCAGATCCAATGGGATGTTTCAGTGCACATTCTCTGGGGATTGCACTGAACTCAGCTAGTGAGGAAAGTAAACAAGCTCCTTCACTTCTAAAGCTGACATCTCTGCATAGGGAAAGTGATCTTGGATGAGCCAAAATGCAGTCAAAAGCTGTCAGAAGGCTAAAGTGCACCAAAACTTGTTCATACCGATCCCAGCCACAAACAAAGTAAGAAGGCCCCATCAGCACTTTTGTGAAAAAGTGCTCCTGGACAAACATATTCCTGCCCAACGCTAAGCTCAGCACTCACTCTCTGACATGGCAGACACTTCATCCTGAATAGCCAAGATCAGCTTGGCCTCCCTGGTCAGGTATTGGCAGCGCCGCTCCTCGTGCTGCAGGACTATGGCGATTCTTCGGGAGAGGTTGTGCAGGCAGTTTATCACGGATGGATCTGCGTTGGCCTACAGGCATCACAGAAAAGAAACAGCTTGGTCATTCAGTCACAGTCACATACGTGGAACTACAACAATGGGTAACAGTCAAAATAACTATCTTTAGTAAATATCAAAAGTCAGCCTCTTTTGCAACCAGCAAAAGAAAGCAGTGGGTTTTTTTGAGCCGAAGCTCAGAGATGTCCAAAGTTAAAGGGAAGACTCAGGGATTTCTACGTTTATTTATGTGCATCAAGTGAACATAGAACCTGGAGCGTGACCCTCGTATCTGCTTTATTTTTTCCAGTTGTTACCGGGCCTTTTGCTAGAGGAGAGACCAAAGAACTCAATTCCACATAGCGAGAGAAATGTCAGGCTGTTTGAATAGGCAGAATATCACAATGTTCAGGTTAAATTCCCTGAGAGTATAAGGACTGCAGTGCCTTTAACACAGCCCATTCACTCCACGTTGCTATACCAATGATTGTCTCACATACTGACAAGACAGTAACTGGGTAAGAATCACCAGCACATGTTCAACAATTTGATCGCAAACCAGAATGAAGTGGGATTTAAGTTTCCAAATATTTCACAAATATGGCTTATTACTAACACTGCGTTCGTGCAAGTTCCAGAGTGGAAGTGCTGGAAAAACCTATCATGTAAGTACAGCTGACGGGGGGGGGGAGGGGGGGAGACTTGGTGGCTCCAGTCTGACTAAGCAGCTGCCTCATGTTTGTTAAGACATTTAAAGGAATTTACAGTTCTAGCAAGCGATAACTTGGCATGTAAACTAGCAAACCATGAGTCATCATTTTTGGATTCCAGTGTTCTTGCTGAGTCACGACACGTTGGTAACCCTGAAGCTTAAACACAGCAGGATCAGTGCTGATTATAGCGTTTGGGCCTTTGCCGGCGCTGTCTGCCCACTGCAGATGGACGCTCAGCGTTATCTCAGGAGGCCTCCACCCACCCTCCGCAGGGCACCACGCCACGCCAGGAAAAAATTTCCACTTGCTTCTTGCACAGCACTTTCCAGAAACTTGACAGCTCTCTGTGAACTAAGAGTGTCTCATTTGGCAAATATGACTTTGTGCTGCATTACCACACAACTACATCATCATCATCATCACAAAATGCAAAAAAGCAAGTCTTCCTAGAAATTAGATTCTAGAAAAATGCAGGCTAAATATAGCCTTTATTGTACTTCACTAAGCTCTTGCAATATTGCAAATGAAGGAGCATTGGTTTCAACACTTCTGCTTCCACATGACTCAATACGCATGAATGTTTGTGTTTGCACGAGCATCTACACAGACACTTACCTACAGCCAAAGCACGGTGCTTTCCCAATATGCCAAAACACCAAAGCTCTTGAAGCTAATGTCTCTTAACATGTGAAATCTAAAATCAATTCCAGTATCGCAAATTTGGCACTTCCTGACCTACAAACGCCCCAAAGCACAACACTGGAACCCCAGAAGAACTCAGTTTCTTGCATGCTTCAGACTGAATGTTGGGATAATTGTTTTTTGTGAATCCTTGCTTTTCAGCTGAGGACAAGGCATCTGGACTAAGGCCATGTCCATGTCAGTCACCACTGGAAAGCCAGCAATAAGAAAGTACTACTGCTAAAAGGAAGAAAAACCCCGTCATTTCACAAGTAGGGAGCTGGAGGCTTTCAAAATCATGACATTATATCCGGTCAAGCAAAAAAAAAACCCCGACATTTCACAAGCAGGGAGCTGGAGGCTTTTAAATCATGACATTATATCCGGTCAAGCAAAAAATCAACCACTTCCATAAAGATGGCTATTCCAGCTCCCTCTTTCATTTTTAAAATGTTTCTTTGTAAGTGTATGACACAAAAATAACATGATGGCTCCACAGATATAACCTGTGGGCTGGGAAGAGAACACCAGAGCTCAGAAATCAAATAATGCTCAAACATAATGAAATTTCTAGGGTTTTATACCACCAAATTAGCCAAGCTGAGATCCCTTAACACAGCAGGCCTGAAAAAAATTTCAAGCAAAAACTACATATTTGCTCCAGGTTCTTGCTGAGCATCAAAACCTACTTACTCTTCATTTGTACCTTCTTCTCATTTAGAATGCTACAGCCGCTGCTCTCTGGCACTCTCCCTTTCCATTGCTAAGAGGAGACAGCTTCCAAACACTGTCCATTTAATTATAAAAAAAAAAGGCACTGAGCAAAGGCGCGTGTCTCTGTATGACCCAGAGTAAGGACTCAAAACTGTGCTGTTCTTAAAAAAAAAAGGCACTGAGCAAAGGTGCGTGTCTCTGTATGAGCCAGAGTAAGGACTCAAAACTGTGCTGTTCTGAGCCAGAGTAGGTTTCTGAATGACTTGAGTTGACCAGGGCCAAAGTGGGGACCTGACTCTTGATGCTGGCCAAGCATGAGCCGCCGTCCACGCTGCCTGCAGCCTTTGCTTCTTTCTTCAGAGCAGAACAGACCACCGAGTTCCAAGCTGCACGGAGTCACGCGGGCTCAGCACCGGGCTAGTGCAGCTGGATGGGTCTAGTCCTATCCTGGGGAAGAGCAGAGCAGTGAGGTACAGAGAGCAGCACCTGACACACAGGACGGTCAGACCCAGGCTGGCTTCCTGCACAGCTCAGTGGGACGAGCCTCAGTCGCAGGGTCTAGAGAAATCACGGCAGATTTACCACCTCACTAATAACAGAATACACACAGAGAACCTGCAGCTGGGTTCATATCTATTTTGCAAAGTGGTTTCTTGCACACTTTTACATGCTGGGTATTTAAAACCAAAAACTCTAGAAAACGTCCTGAAGAAAACACCTGTACTCGTTTTCCATTGGGCTGGAAAACTTCCCCGCTTGTCAGTGTCATATTCTACATTGTTTAAGTTTGTTGTTTCAAATATCCCAATAAATCAGGCACTGGATGCTTTACAAGAGATTACTGGAACGTGAGCCTACTGCGTTCTCCTACACATTTGAGGCACATTCCACTGTCAGATGGGATGAAGACAGTTCTTACCCTTAGCGCAAACACCACGTTGAAGAGAATCATAGTGGGCATCTCTCTCTTTGGTGAGGGATCAGTTTTGGATACCTGAAAAATATTAAAAAAAAAAAAAATCCCATAGGCTAGCGTCAGTTGGATCCAGAGCAAAAAAAAAGAAAAAAGAAAGGAAAAAAAACGTGAAACAGTCAAATAACAACTTTGCTGAGAAAAAAGAGCAGACAAATCAGATATTACCATCAAACTTCACTTGTAAAAAAGAAAGGTGTTTTTTTTTAATTATTATTAAAGTGTCACAGTTATTCTACAATACTGCCTTTTCTGAGAAACTGTGAAGACTTAACTAAAACATTTTGGTCATGACCATGGAAATGAGTATCAGTTAAGACAGCAGTGTCTTTACTACAGGGTGTCTTTACTAATGCATTTTAGCATATTAGGAACATAGTTTTAAATTCCGTAGCACAATTGTTATATATATTGTTAACTGAAGAGAAATCCAGAGGTTTCTCATCCCAGGCCACACGTATTCTTTCCTTTCCTGAAATCCCCATTTGGATTGTGTCATGTTACAAACTGTGGCTTTTATCAGAAAAAACACGCTCTAGAACTGCAGTACTAAAATAAAAGGTTAGATTTTTTCTTCCTGTAGGATTTCAAACACATTCTCCAGCCCCCCCTATTCTTCCTACAGCAGAGAGCTTCAGCCCAAGGGCAGGTACAGACTTTGTGGTGGGAAGGAACAGTGGAAGCAAGTTGAATTTGAACATCCGAGCCCAACAACTCTGCATCGAGCGTCGCCACAAGATGGAGCACAAATCCAGAGGACATTCCTGCCACCCTGAAGCTCCCCGCTGAACACCCAGCCATTCCCAGTGAAACCAGCTATAACCTACTGGGCCAGACACCCAGCGATCCTCATATTCACTCTCTACCCAGCAGATGTGCCTATGTAGCTAATGCAGCATCTGAGACTGGGCAAACACAGAGAAGGTGACAAAACAGGGCTGCACCCTCCTCTCCTGACAGGTCCCAAGCATCAGCAATGAACTGCTCTGCAGTGAACTCCAAAATCTGAGTGCTTTCCCTCAGTAGTTTTAAAAATTAGAGATGCTAGAAGAAGCGACACACATTTTTGGTTTTTTTTTTTCTAAAGTACAAGTGAGGTTCTATCAAAAAGCCAGTGATGGGAGGGTGGTAAAGCTAATTTACTGTGTTTGTTTATTCCCCTGGAGTTATAGGCTCCAGGATATCTTGTGAACTTCAGTAAAGACTCAAAAGCATTTCCAAGTGTAGGTACTGATCCTGTTCCTTCCTTAAAAAAATCAAAAAGACTACTGCCATTAACATCAATTTGCACGCAGGGTAGATTTCGTCCCACCTCTTGTCCAGAATAAAAGAATAAAAGACTAAACTTCAAAAGAAAACGCTGAAGGAATTTGAAGAATTCAGAATATTGTTACATAAAAGGTGGTCTGACACGCAGGATTAAATATTTGTGCTTTTGTAACTCCTGAATCTCATCTGAGTAAGAATTTGCTGAGCCACCCTGTGGATTGACTTACTGCAGTATGAACTCTGAAGAAGCCCAAACCAGAGACTGAGGTGTCTTTGCTCCACAGGAAAGGAGCTCCATCTAGCTTCCTCCTAACTGCAAAAGCATCCCAGATTTAGGCTCAAATGCACTAGCAGAGATGGCTGCCACGTCTAGAACATTCTGGACATAGAAAGTTCTGGGTGCCTACAGGGGTGATAAGACACACCCAAAAAGAAGATCCTACAAGAAGTAACATAAAAGTGTTTACAGCACATTATAACTTTGTTTATTTAGACAAATTGACAATGAAGAGACATTTCATGCATTTAGGATAAAACTGACTGGAAAGTGGAGAGAATGTATAGTAATATGGGGTGAAAAAATGCAAATACAAATTTTCAACCTTATTTACACCACATTTAGGAAGTTGTGCCTTTTGGACAATATTAGCAAAAAAAAGGAATCTGATACTGTGAGAGATCAGGGCCCTGAGGGCACCAAAAGGTCTTAATGGCCCTGATCAGCCCCAGTTGGATCCCCAACAGGAGGGAGGGGACCCAGGAGCCCCCTTTAAGCTCAGCCCAGGGCCCATAGGTGTGCCTGTCTTGCCCTGTCTCCTGGATGGACTTTCAACATATGTGACCGTAGGTAGCCTATCTCCAGGATGGCCATTGCAGCCTTCTCCTCCAGCCCTGTCTCTGGTCCTGTCTCCTTTTGATCCTGGCTGGGATCCCTGGACAGACCCTGGGCCTCTTTCCTTGCTTGCCTTGTCTGGGGCTGGTGATGTACTCACCCAGCTTGGGGACACTTGAACTCTATCTTCCAAAACGGGCTTGACCATTTAAGGACCGAGTTTTGGTGATTCTTCATCACATTTCCTGTAGACTCACAACTGAGTTTCAAAAGTGGAACACCAGCATCCTTTGATGCTTGAGGCCAAGTCCTCACTTGGATTAAAGCAGTCTGATCCTCTAAATATCAAGCAGCAGTTGCCAACAATCTGTTTGCACCTCTAATTATAGATAGAAAGGATGATAGAATTGGCACGCAAATTTATTTTTTTTTTTCTGAAAAATGAACGACTCAGTAAATTTGATGAAAAAGGAGACCAAAGCAGTTCAGGGACAGAGACTGGTGTTGGATTCAGAAATTACCAAAACCTAGCTCATTTTTACAGTCTATCAGGAAGAAGGAATGGGACAGGGGATATCTTGCACATAGAAGCATGTAAATTTTTTCCTAGATCTAAGCAGGACCTTTTCCATAGCCTGGGTGGCAACTGCTTTCATTCCAAGCAGGTAAAACACAGGCCACAGAGGAAGGTCTCAATGCAAACAGCAGCCTGACTTTTCCACAAGAAAATTTTAGTCCTCTTTCAACACCCTACCCAACCAAGTCTTGTGAATTGCCTTCAGCACCAGTAAAAGTATAGAGTTAAAAACAAGGCTGACGTAGTTTCTAGCATTTGTGAAGGTTTTTAGTGTGGGGTGTTGTTTTTTTTTAACTGCCATATTAATTAGAGGTGCTAAAAAGCTAACTTGCAATAATTAACGTGGTGAGAAACAGCTTTTTGAGCTGGACTGCTTAGTATTACTTCTCATTACCCACCCTACTCTGCTGCAGTAACTGGGAGGGGGTTCCTGAGCATCACTGACACAGCTCCCTCCCTTTGCCACCCACTGCATCTACCTGAAAGTAAGTAAAAGACAGCTTTGAACACCAGGAAGTAAAAACAGGCTCAAAAGCCAAGGTGCACATGCTGAATTCTAGGTTTCCTGACTAAGCCAGGCAGTTTGAAAAGGAGGCTGGTCCTCAGAACGGGCCTCGGAATCATGGAATCATGGAATCGTCAGAGTTGGAAGGGACATCTAGAGATCATCTGGTCCAACTCCCCTGCTAAAGCAGGAACACCTAGAGCACATCACTCAGGACTGCATCCAGGCGGGTCTTGAAGATCTCCAGAGAAGGGGACTCCACGACCCCCCTGGGCAGCCTGTTCCAGGGCTCCGTCACCCTCACCGTAAAAAAGTTTTTTCTCATATTTGAATGGAACTTTCTATGTTCCAGCTTGAGCCCATTGCCCCTTGTCCTATTGCTAGAAACCCCTGAAAAGAGTCCGGCTCAACATCCTTCAACTCACCCTTTAGATACTTATAAATAAGGTCTCCCCTCAGTCTTTGCTTGTCCAGGCTAAAGAGTCCCAGCTCCTTGAGCTTTCCTTGTAAGGGAGGTGCTCCAATCCCTTAATCATCTTTGTTGCCCTACGCTGGACTCTCTCCAGCAGTTCCCTGTCTCTCTTGAACTGGAGGGTGCAGAACTGGATGCAGTATTCCAGTTGTGGCCTCCCCAGTGCAGAGTAGAGAGAGAATGACCTCCCTCGTACCGTACCTGCCCAAGGGCATGCTGAAGCAAGGTGGGATGGCCAACAAAGCGAACGTTATCGATCTTCAGTTCAAACTTTTTGCCACACATATCTGACTTGGTAGCCAAAATCGTTGCCAGGATGACATCCGAAAACCTTGAAGAGCAGAGACAGAAGTTATTACAATTTTCAAAAAGCATACCCCCAGAACATTCCTCCAATTACAGATATATTTAACTTGTGAGTTTTTAAAGCATTGTAAATCGTGTCTAAATTGCTGTACCTGGAGTACCACCAATTATGGAAAATTAAGAACCCCTTAATTACATCTCTTAGATCATCACAATTATAAAACAGGAAGCATTCACGACAAAGACTGCAGGGTCATGCTTATTTAATTACATGCTGAGCAAAATACACTGGAAAGATTAGATGCAGTTGGCTTAAATATAAAAACAGCTCAAGTTAGCCATTGCCTGGATTTAGCTGCAGGTTAATGAACTTACTAAGCAACTACATATTGACACAGCCTGTCACTCAAGCACAACAGAGATCTTTAAGCCACCCAGTACGGCAGAGGGGAAGGCAAGAAAGAGCTGATTCAATAAGAAGAATCATACGTCCAACACTTGTCCCTCCTTTCCTAAACCTCATCAAAGTTATGCACTTAACAGATCTCAACCTGTGGTCAACAGACCACCAGCACCTTCCGAGAGCTGCCTGGCCTCACCTGTGCCTTCTCATTTCATAAACCAAACTGAGACTGATTTGTGACAGGACAGGCCCTTCCCAGCACTAACCATGGACTGGACTGCTCTGGATGGGTGGTGGGAAGAAGGCAGCTGTGAGACAGGGGGGGGCAAGCAGCTACAAAGAGTCTGCCCTGTAAAATACAGCTACTGCTGCAAAAATGGGTAAGAATCCAGTGTGACAAAGGAGGAATTCCAACTGTGCTTTCTGATGGCTTTGAACGATTGGTCTGGTCTCTACAAACGCTCGTTTTTCCCCCAGGTGTCCCCTGAGACAGTGGAGCTCAAACCCACAGGGAAGGGGAGCTCAGTTGGAGAGAACTGGAGAGAATTTGTTGTTCTAGAATAGGAGCAGCGTAAGGTTTGATATTAGCAAGTTCTTTCCTCATTTGATTTCTCGGAAGCTGCCATTTAACCAAACGAATTTCAAACCAGTTTCTGATGAGAACAGGTTTTTAAGAATGAAAATGTTTATTTCATTTTCTTTATTTACATTCAGGAGCGTGTGTCCCTGTCAGACCATCCCCCTCCACCAGGCAGGTGGGAAGAAGGCAGCTGTGAGACGGGGGGGGCAAGCAGCTACAAAGAGTCTGCCCTGTAAAATACAGCTACTGCTGCAAAAATGGGTAAGAATCCAGTGTGACAAAGGAGGAATTCCAACTGTGCTTTCTGATGGCTTTGAACGATTGGTCTGGTCTCTACAAACGCTCGTTTTTCCCCCAGGTGTCCCCTGAGACAGTGGAGCTCAAACCCACAGGGAAGGGGAGCTCAGTTGGAGAGAACTGGAGAGAATTTGTTGTTCTAGAATAGGAGCAGCGTAAGGTTTGATATTAGCAAGTTCTTTCCTCATTTGATTTCTCGGAAGCTGCCATTTAACCAAACGAATTTCAAACCAGTTTCTGATGAGAACAGGTTTTTAAGAATGAAAATGTTTATTTCATTTTCTTTATTTACATTCAGGAGCGTGTGTCCCTGTCAGACCATCCCCCTCCACCAGGCAGGTATCCCAGATAACCCAGTATCACTCAGAGAAAAGGGCAGACATGGGTGTGTGCTGCGCTCACCTTATCTCTTGGCCACAAGTGAGCCCTCGATGCCCACAGAAGGAATTAATGTTCTGTATTCCTGGTTCACTCGAAGTGAGTTATAGAGTACGACAGAAATTAAGCCAAATGCATACAGCCAGGTCTTTTGTAATTATCCATCTGCATATGACCCAGGGGACATTTCTTTTATTAGGCCTACATATCTTGAAGATGCAGGACAACAGAGGGGCTTTATGAGCTGTCAAAGCCCCTGGCGTTTGTGCAAACAGGTCATCCTGACCACAGCACACTGCTTACATTTGGCTTGTGGAAGGAGCAGCTCTGTACAAACTTCGAAATCCCTCAGCTGCTCTGCTGCCAACACAGCTAAGGGCAAGCAGAGAGATGGGGAGGCTAGCCAGAGAGTCCTGGGGCCACTGAGCCCACGCTCCTCATCCACTGCACTGCGCTGGGCTGCACAACACACGGAGATGGGGAAGAAAGGGCAAAACGTCCTCAAACAGGAGCTGGACTGACAGTCCTTAAGAGATCACATTCAAAACAGGAAAAAAAGCCACCATGACAGCAGTGAGCTTTCCCCACTCTTTCTGCCCTCTTCAGCTGTGCTCATTAATAGGTTCCTCATGAAGCCAGGAAGACTGTAATAGCGATGGATCCTAAACCAGCATATGCTTTGGGGGGTGGAGGGAGAAGAAGGGTAAACTAGAAAATGCCTGCTTGCTGGTAAGAAATTAGTTACTCTTCCCTCCCCCAGCCTTGGCAAAGGATACCTTGGGAGCTGGAAAACTGATCATTATGGTGACTTTCACCACTGTTAAGATTTGACTTTTACAAGGAATTACACCAGCAGATCTTTTAACAGATAAATGTGGTGCTGAACGTAAGAGTTCAGCAGTTCCCCAGGAGAGCTCGTGACACCAGCAGCCCTGTCTGCCCTGCCTGCTGCATGGCTCTGTGGGGAGGAGGAGATTAAATGGTTGATTTTGTGAAGTCCTCGCTATCTTCTCACTAGCAGAGACTTCTCTTTCTGGGAGAGTACTGCAACTGCTGCCAGAGGACTTGCTCAGGAACGATAACCCGGGTTCTACCTGATGGCTACATACACCTGGTATCACTGTAGGCTCTCCCACGGGTGACCCAGGCTCCAGCCCCATTCTCCTTGTCTGACAGGCTTGAATTACTCTGTTTGCTGGTTTGGGGTTTTTCCCTCAATCCTCTACACAATATATACATTTCTTAGGCCTCAGGACAATAAGGAGACTGAGGGACAGCAGATAATGTTAATCCCATCATTTCAATTCATCACCTTATCTTAGAAAATAACACTTTTACTTTAGATATTTTACTAGTGATTTTCTCATCTCTGGGGTGTATTAAGATGACCTAAAAATACTGACTTAGCAGAGCCCAAGGGTTTGCTAGAAGCAGATCAGGTTTCGCAGTTGGGCAGTTAACAGTCTCTTCTTCTTTTATGAGATTAGTCTGGGCACTGTGATTTCCAGAGGAAAGCAAACCTCTCCTGTACTAAGAATTTAGCAGGTGGAAACCAAATACAAAACCCAAAAGCTTTGATTTGCCTCAAATATCCTCCCGCTCCTATTACAAGCTCAACGTAGCAGCAACAGCAGACAATCCAGCAGTAGGATACAAACCACTCTAGTGCAGATCGACTGCTGTCACCAGCATCTCCTCTGGAAACCCAGCTGAAACAACAACTGCTTTAGTTTTAACACACAGAAAAGGAGGGGGAAAGCATCTCAAACACCAATTCATTTTTGCCCCCCAAGAAGAGACAATAACTTGTAATATGCCACAGGAATTCAAACTGATGTTCTTACAAAGAATTCTTCTTTGAAGTAGTTTATAATGGCAGAGGAGTGTCTAGGTAACCACCTTCACGGTAAGCAGGGACTAGAGATGCAGTTTAATACTTTTGTGGCTCTGGATAGAGATAAATACTTTTCTCCCCACAAATTCAATAAGGGGGTACAATGCAGTCATCCAGTTTAATTTAGTGGGACACCAAGAACAAGCACCCAGAGCAGCTGCTCAAAACCAGGTCTCTGAAGAGCTCTCTGTAATTACTGTAGGATTAAATAGTTTACTCACTGATCTGTACTGTTAAGTCATTGCTCATCAGAAAGCAATCTGTTTTAGGGCTCCTTGCTGGAATAACTACAATGCCAAGGCTACAATGCTTGTTGCATTCATGGAGGATCCCAACTTCTCAATTCACAAAAGGGACAGTACCACACCCATTCTGGATACCCTACAGGAAGCACAGAAATGTTAGTAGGACCTTTGTAATTATCCTCGCATAAACCTTCAGCAATACGTTGCCTACGGACATTGTGATTTAGCATATAATTATCTCATCATTCGGTGTAAAACAGAAACCAGAAACAAAGCACAATTAAAAGGATGGTGAGAAAAGAAAGCCATTCTAGACAAAGGTGATTGTTTAGAATGTTTGGTCTTACCCCGAAACCAATTGCTCATCAGTTAGAGGACATTGGTCTCTGAAATGGGAACATGGCCATAAACACAAAACAAAAAACACAAGGAAATAAACGAGGCAAGTACACAAAATACAAGAAAAAAAAAAGATATAATATTAAAAACTAGGATGAACTACTAAGGGTTAAACTCCTGTAAAGGAAATATAACTATTGAGAAGAGTCAGAAGTTAATGGTAGGTGAATTCCTGGGATATACAGCAGGCTTGGACTGACAACACAGAGAAAACAGGCAAAGGCATTTTAGCCCTCTCACTAGCACTGGCTGCTGTGATGTGTTCCCACCACATGATGCATTTCCAGAGCTGTACTTACACCGTACTTTTTAATTCATGCTTACCTTAAGAGAAAATAGAAGAGGTTACAGTCTGATTTAGAGCATATTCTAAACTTCAGTTTCTAGACTATTCCTAGCTTTTTCACCAAAGGAACATCCCCTGCAGCCCCAAATGACCCACAGTTCTTCACAACTGGTTCTGGTGCTTCCGTAGCCCCAAGACTTAGAAAAAAGGATGCCAAACACTTATTGTTGTGCACAGCCAGGGTTCTGCAAAGGGCCTTGCACACAGAGCCCCTGCTGCTCCTCGCCAGGGATGGAAACAATAGGAACAAGCCTGGCCAGAACCACAGCACAAGCATGAAGTCATTCTCCATCCCTGTCTGCCCCAGGCAATAAGCAAAAGCTTAGGAAGAGCAGGCTGGAAAAGTTTTCAAGGCAAAGAACCTGAAAACCTTCTTTACAACAGTGTGTAAAGTGCAAGGCTCTATTAACAGCTGTACGCACTTTCTTATCAGGGAAAAAACCAACTGTTTTCATTTTAACAGTCAACTTCCTTTTTTTCTTCCAATAACAAGACAAAAAAAGGCTTTTTTCCCCGAAACAAACTTCCTAAATATACTGAAAAAATGAATGTGACAAAAGGATTATACTGTCCACTTTAGAAATGGAAAACAAAATGAAAACCTCCAACACTTATTTAATCCAGAAGGCAACAGATTTCTACTGGTCATGTTGAAAAGGGAACCTAGTGCAATCCCAAACGACAAACTACACAAAGGGGTGATATTACAGGAAGGGTGTTTGAAGGGATGGACGGATGAATGGAAAAGCACGGGCTTACAGACAGGAAGCCTTTCAGAACAAATAGGAGGAAGAACACTGGAGTCCAGTGAAAGAGGGACAGAGGATACAGAAATGTTATCACAGGAGAGCTACTGTTTGTTAGAAAGGGACATTCAAGTCCTTGTTTGTCAGTAACTTGACTTCTTTTATAACAGAAGCTTTTGGCCAATTAATGACATCAATGCTGTCAAACTTGCTAAACCTCCTTCAGTTAGTTGTGCTGCTAAAAAATGCAAAGTCTGGCATAACATATGTTACTATACGTGCATCTTCACTAGCATTTTTGCTTGTCAACTACACCACCTTCAGAAAAACTACAAAAAAACATTTCAAACCAATTTAACAAAGCCTTATCTTCTGGCTTCAAAAGAGTAATTGCCTTACTTTTTTTTCAGAGGGAAAAAAAAAAATAAAAGAGATGAGACAGGCAGGCATCTCCTTAAGCTGTGAGGGGTATGTATTGCTTGTAAAGCACTCAAAAATTGAAGGATATTTTTGAAGAGAGCAAATGATGAAAGGCAGAGAAGCAGCCAGCAAAGAGAGATGCTTGACAGGCAATTTGTTTTGACAGTGACAGATTCTTCTGAATACCTTTTTGTTGCATCATCACCATCAACACACCTCAACCACTTCTGCTGCTTGAACATGCTTTTAAAAGAAAGAAAAACCTGTATTCTGAAGATCTAAACACATAGCTCCATTGACTAGGAATTAATATAAGCGAACACTCAGCAGTAACCTAGAGGTAGGACTGTCATTAATAAGCTACAATTGTCTATAAAAAAAACCCCCAAAAAGCATAATAATGACCAGGAAATTTGAGTCTGAAGGCTAATTGAAATCCAATTATGCATACAAATGTGCTACATGGAAATTGACAGTTAAGGCACCTAAACTGACCTAATTTTGTCTTTTCTGAGGCTATAAAGACAGACATATACCTCAACTGTTCCAGGGAAGATTAGCTTAAAAGTAATTGACCTGGGTTCCAATAGCTCAGGAAAAAAAGCAATACTGAACCTTACCCAGGATATAAATGGTGCTAAATTGCCAGTAAATTAATGGCAGCCATCTAGTACAAAAAAGGATGAATCCAACCCTCTTAAGATCTACTGCAGCAACCAGATAATCTGAAATAACCTTTGATACTGAACCTGAACACATGAGAAAATCCCAAACCTTCAACATTATCAAACTTGCCATATGCCATCAACTCAGCTGCCCACTGCAAATCCTCCAGTTGTGCCACCAAAATCATCTACAGATGATACTGATAAGAGGGTAATTGAAAGGAACCTTTTTGTCAACTCTTCCTTGAGGAAGCCTTCCAGAAATAATATGAAAACACTTAATAAATTATTTTCATCAAGAAAAACTCCAGTCAGAAGATCAGCACCAGTAGAAAACAGACTGGACTTCATGCTGATGAAATCTCTGCATGGACTAGTGAAGGCAGTGTTCCAGGCAGAGAACCACTGCACCATGGCACTGCCAAGAACCAACTCTCAGGGACACAGCTGCCACTGGGGGAATGGCTCTCACAAAACCAGATGCTCCATTCCTGGTCTCTCCAGCCTCAACTTGCATACGATTGTTGACCTTTCCTTGTTTACAAATCACATGCATCTCGCTCTCTCCAACAGTTCTGCACACTTCTGCCTCCACTCTCCCCTTAAAATCTCTTCTACTGCAAGGCAACAACTTCTGTTACTCCCAGAATGATCTGATACAAATATAAGGTCAGAGCAACCTGTTGTACACAGTTTTGAAGGTCCCTTTTTGCTTTGTACTGAAAGATGAGTCTGTACCCAAAACTTGCATATTTTTTCCACCTGTATCAGTAAGCCCGGTGAAAGAGACTAACTCCGCCAACAACTTCCTCTTGCCTAATATAAATTGACAGTATTTAGTATGTAAACAACATCAGTGATTTCTTCTACAAGCTGCTATCACTGAAGAGTTTGGCTTCTACATCAGCTGTATGGGATGCAGTGTATTTACAACTCTGATTACATTGGAACTGGGAAAAAGCTTTTCAATTAACAGACTGGAAACAAATGCAATTTTGAAAGATACTTGGAATTTCTGAATGCAGGTACCCAGCCACGCAAGCAGCAGAAGCAGGGTGCTGGACATCAGTGTTTGGCCTCTAGCAGAACCAACACTTTCAGAGCAACATAAATGCTCCTCTTCTTCTGTTTCCCTTTCATCTGCCTGGCAGCTAGAGACAAAAATGCAGGAGATAATATTAATAGACTTCTGGCTAACAGACCTGTGGTGACTGACACCTCAATTTCATCTAAGTAGATATAAGGTTTATAAACGCTGACCTTAGTCAGGTGCAGGCACCGCAGCAAGAATTTCTATCTACTGCTGTACACAAAACTGTACAAACGACAATTTATTTTTGTTGAAGACCATCACTGCAGAGGGGGATTTCTGTCTTAATATTCTTTCATTCAGCGCTTCAGCACTGTGATACATCACGCTTAGTGAGCTCAGTTGAGAGGTCATAAATTCTTTTAAACACTAAAAGCTTAATAACAAATGCTTGACAAGAAGATTAAGCACCAACTTTCGAGCTCAGAGATCTGGACACCACTGCAATGAAATAATTTAAATCTTCATTTAATGTAGGTTACAAGCCAGCACATTCAATCCACTTAAAATCAGTTTCAGGAAAATACTAGCAGTTTTCTCATCTGACCATAATTTGAAATTATAAAAGCTTTTCCTACATCACTGTAGTAGCCACATACTGCACCACACTAATTAAGCAAGCACCAAACTAACTCAGCACCACAGGCAACACCCAGAGAACGCAGCTCCACGTTAAGTCCTCTGTCCAACCTGCCAGAACAGCAGAGGCAGCAAGAATCAGTACCAGCCAGAAGCTGGTAGCGTTCCAACACCGTCTTAATCTACCCAGGGAAAAACCAGAGCTGGGGTTTTAAAGAGCAACTAACAAAATCCCTGAGATAACCAGCAAATGTGTGTATGGAGCCTTCCTAATGTGCATACAACTGTCCAGAGCACAGTCTGAAACGCCATTCTCCAAACTCACATCACCACGGCTTGCTCCCGCTGGAGTCGTGCCCTGTACCGTACTGCACTCCCTGGAGACACAACAGAATGCTGCGTGGAAGGTTTCTAAGACACCAGGAGAGGCAAGAAATACGAGTGAATTCAAGCAAAATGTGTTTTCGTAACATCCCAGCCCTAGAAAAACATACGAATGTGATGAAATTTTGCAAGGCTGGGATCTAAATTTCTCTTTTGGGGGCAAGTGACGAGTACTTTTTTTTACTCTTATATGAGAGAAGAGCAGCAACTGCCCCATTTTATTAATACTGGAGATTAAAACACATACCGCAAAAAAGATCTGCAACTGATCTCAGGGCCAACAAATGAAAAAACCTTTCTCTTTCCCACATTTCTCTCATATCTGATAGTGATAAATTTAGAACCAAGCAGCAGACTTCAAATTTCCTACAAAAACTAATCAGAGGGTCCACTTGTACATACATGCATACTGAAAAACACACTGCCTATTTTCAGTGTGTTTGTTACCCACTGATTTCCTGTAATTGAAAAACTATCTTTAAGTCTCAGTTTCCTTTGGAGCTACTATTTCACTCCACAGACACAAGGGCAGCTACATCTGGAGAAACAAAATTAGTCATTCATTAGTGCACAGCAATTCCATACGACAGTTACATGAGCTAGGGAAGAATTTGAGGCAACTGAATGATAATCCAGTTAGAGGTAGGCAGGTAAAGAAAAGTGGAATTTTGCCAAAGTATTAATACTTCTAGCTTTGAAAGAGTAATACTGTCTTTCTAACAAGCACAAAATACCTGGCCTATACCTTTCCCAGAAAACAACAGATACAGAAGCATTCCCTCATGAGAAATTCCTCATTACTAAGCACTAATTTACTCATAACTTAGCATTAAAACATTTTTTGGCAGGTCATCTTCTATACAGTCCGAGAGAATTTGCCTGCTGAATTAGCAGGCAAGAGAGCAAGCGGCCATCTCTCCCTGTTGCAAACTGAGGCAAGGAGAAATGTTTTTCCCTACCTGGAGTCCCCATCTTGATCTTCCGTGGTGTCACCAGAGCTATTCACAGCATATCGACTCCTTGGCTTATCTGAAACAAAGAATAAAGACATCTTTTTCAAGGAACAATCTCCTTAAAGCGTTCATTAAAATAAGTCCATTAAAAGAATACTTGTCTGTGCCCTTTTTAAAATTATCTGTAACAGAGATATATAAAAAAAGTAATATTAAAAGCAGAAAGCCCCTTCCTTTTTAGGCAGAAGTACCTGATCTTGTTTTTTTTATTCTCATTGAAAAACACATCAAAAAACAGGAGAAAGAGGTTTTCATCTTCAGGGGGTAAAGAGGAGAAAGCAAAACATTCACAGAAACAACTTTTCTCTCAAGGACCAGGTAGCAGTTTGCAGTTCGAGAGAGAGTGGAAAATAAAATTCCGACTAGTGCATTCCCCTCATTATTGCTCAGTTCCCAGGACAATGATAATGCTCCAGAAGCCCATGCTGCAGTCACAGGTATTGAAATCCTTTACCAACAAGAAGCAAAGGGTGAGAGGGAGACAGCCAAAAAAACCCCATGTTTTCAGATTTTACCTATATAAAGTGACTCGCAACCTAAACAGGGGTGGTCAAACCTTTCGTGACGTTTGGTGTTAGCAAACGACCCATGCAAAACAGCCTCATGACTTTAGGCCACGCACAAGACACTTGCCCACTGGCGCAGCCATCCTGCCTCCTGCCCCTATGGAATTCCCTATTGTTCCTTTTTTCCAGAAGAAATTAAACCTCTTCTACCTCATTATTCAACACACAGGACTAAAGTCTCTTAATTTCCACCCATTATCAGTTAAAGCTCACCTAGTGTCTTCTGAATCCTGTCTCCCAGTCAGTTCTTTCTCTCCTCACCCTCCTTCCCCTACAGCCCTTGAAACCCACACTGCTCATCCAGGAACACCAACAATTACACATGGATAAAATTAACGCAGGTTCAATTAACGCAGGCTGTGAGGCCTGTCTGTGAGGGGTGCCAGTGCACCTGAAGGCTATGAGGCCTGTGAGGGGCCTAAGGCTCGTGAGGGGGGTGCCAGGCCCCCATGGATGGCCTGAGGCATGTGACCAGGTGCCAGGCATCCACTGAGGGTCTGAGGTGTGTGAGGGGGCCTGAGGCGCGTGAGGGGGCCTGAGGCGCGTGAGGGGGTGTCAGGCCCCCATGGAAGTGTGTGAGGGGGCCTGAGGCCTGTGAGGGGGTGCCAGGCCCCCATGGAGGTGTGTGAGGGGGCCTGAGGCCTGTGAGGGGGTGCTAGGCCCCCATGGAGGTGTGTGAGGGGGCCTGAGGCCTGTGAGGGGGTGCCAGGCCCCCATGGAGGTGTGTGAGGGGGCCTGAGGCCTGTGAGGGGGTGCCAGGCCCCCATGGAGGTGTGTGAGGGGGCCTGAGGCCTGTGAGGGGGTGCTAGGCCCCCATGGAGGTGTGTGAGGGGGCCTGAGGCCTGTGAGGGGGTGCCAGGCCCCCATGGAGGTGTGTGAGGGGGCCTGAGGCCTGTGAGGGGGTGCCAGGCCCCCATGGAGGTGTGTGAGGGGGCCTGAGGCCTGTGAGGGGGTGCTAGGCCCCCATGGAGGTGTGTGAGGGGGCCTGAGGCCTGTGAGGGGGTGTCAGGCCCCCATGGAGGTGTGTGAGGGGGCCTGAGGCCTGTGAGGGGGTGCCAGGCCCCCATGGAGGTTTGTGAGGAGGCCTGAGGCCTGTGAGGGGATGTCAGGCCCCCGCGGAGGGTCTGAGGCCTGTGAGGGGATGCCAGGCCGCCACAGGGTGTGCGTGAGGCGGGTGTGTGGGACACCAGCCCCTCACCGGGGGTGTGAGGGGGTACCAGGGCCCCCCGGAGCAGCCGCGGCCCCCGGGCCCCGCGGCGTCGCGCACTTACTGGCCTGTGCGGCGGGGTGCTCGGCGCCGCGCTGGAAGGGGAAGCGGAACAGCAGCTTGTTGCCGCGGCTGCCCGAGCTCACCAGGATAACGCTGATGGGGCTGGTGCTCTCGCCCATGCCGGCAGGGCACGGAGCGGACCGGCACGGCCCGCAGGAAGGCTGCCCGCCACGGCCGCCTTCAGCTTCCGCTTCCGCCCGGCGGGGCGGGGCTGCCGGGGACGCTGCGGGGCCGGGGATGGCGGCTGCGGGGCTCCCGGAGTGGAGCTGGACCCCCGCGCCTCACAACCCGGCACAGACCCGGCCCCCAGTACAGCCCAGTGCCCCCAGTTCAGCACAGCGATCCCAGTTTAGAACAGCACCTCACAGACTTGTCCCCCAGCAGACTCCAGTGCCCGCAGCTCAGCCCAGCACCTCACGGACCCGGCCTCCAGTACAGCCCAGTGCCTCCAGTTTGGAACGGTACCTCACAGACCCGGCCCCCAGTACAGACCAGTGCCTCCAGTTTGGAACGGCACCTCACAGACCCGGCACCCAGTACAGACCAGTGCCCCCAGCTCAGCCCAGCACCTCACAGACCCGTCCCCCAGTGCATCCCAGTGTGCCCAGTTCAGCACAGCACTTCACAGACCCAGCCCCCAGTATAGCCCAGTGCCCTCAGTTCAGCAGCTCATATCCCCGCAGCCCAGTCCCCCAGTACAGACCCGTCCCCCAGTGCATCCCAGTGCCCCCAGCTCAGCACAGCACCTCACAGACCTGGCCCCCAGTACAGCCCAGTGCCCCCAGTTCAGCCCAGCACCTCACAGACTTGTCCCCCAGTAGACCACAGTGCCCCCAGTTTAGAACAGCACCTCACAGACCTGGCCCCCAGTATAGCCCAGTGCCCTCAGTTCAGCACCTCACATCCCCGCAGCCTGGTCCCCCTGTACAGACCCGTCCCCCAGTGCATCCCAGTGTGCCCAGTTCAGCCCAGCACTTCACAGACCCGGCCCGCACTACAGCGCAGTGCCCCCAGTTCAGCACAGCACCGCACAGACCCAGCCCCTGGTACAGCCCAGTCCCCCCAGTACAGCACCTCACAGACTTGTCCCCCAGTACAGCCCAGCAATCCCAGTTCAGAACAGCACCTCACAGACTTGTCCCCCAGTACAGCCCAGCAATCCCAGTTCAGAACAGCACCTCACAGACTTGTCCCCCAGTACAGCCCAGCAATCCCAGTTCAGAACAGCACCTCACAGACTTGTCCCCCAGTACAGCCCAGCAATCCCAGTTCAGAACAGCACCTCACAGACTTGTCCCCCAGTACAGCCCAGCAATCCCAGTTTAGAACAGCACCTCACAGACCTGGCCCCCAGTACAGCCCAGTGCCCCCAGTTCAGCACAGCACCTCACAGACCCAGCCCCTGGTACAGCCCAGTGCCCCCAGTACAGCACCTCACAGACTTGTCCCCCAGTACAGCCCAGCAATCCCAGTTTAGAACAGCACCTCACAGACTTATCCCCCAGCAGACCCCAGTGCCCGCAGTTTAGAACAGCACCTCATAGACCCGGCCCCCAGTACAGCCCAGTGCCCCCAGTTCAGCACAGCACCTCATGGACCCGGCCCCCAGTACAGCTCAGTGCCCCCAGTTCAGCACAACACTTGACAACCCTGTCGCCCAGTACAGCCCAGTGCCCCCAGTTCAGACCAGCAACTTGCACACCCAGTACAGTCCCATCTTGTCTGCCATTACAGCCCTGTAGCCCCCGAGTACAGCCCAGTGCTCCCAGTTCAGACCAGCTCCTCATATACCTCCCACCCCCATCCCCCAGTACAGCCCAGTGCTCCCAGTTCAGACAAGCACCTCGTCCCCAGCTCCCAGCCGGCTCAGCCCATTGTCCCCAGCACAGACCAGGACCCCCAGTCTGCCTGTGGTGGCCCCTTCCCCAGGTCTCCAGCCCTGGTGCTGGCCCTGGAGCCCTGGAGCAGGGGCTGCCAGAGGCCTGCCCCCCCCGCCCCATTTCTTTGGGTCACTTCTAGTGATTCGGCCAGTTCAGCCATTACTAGTCCAAAATTTCACTCATAGCTGGTGGCAAATGGCAGTGAGGGGTCATCCCCTCCTGGTGTGGTCACCATTGCAGGGTGTCCGTGGGAGCCAGGCTGTGGAAATCGGACCCTTCAGCTCCCCATGCTCCTGGAAAGGCACGCTTGGTTGTGTTCCTCACCTTCCTTGCAAGATCTCAGGGGGCTTCACAGCGCTGAGACAACTAGGACAAGAGGAGATGGCCTCAAGTTGCACCAGGGGAGGCTTAGAATGGATATTAGGAAAAATTTCTTCACAGAAAGGATTATCAAGCATTGGAACAGGCTGCCCAGGGAAGTGGTGGAGTCACCATCCCTGGAGGTGTTTAAAAGACAGGTAGACATGGTGCTGAGGGACATGGTTTAATGGTGGTTTTGGCAGTGTTTGGTTAATGGTTGGTCTCGATGATCTTAAAGGTCCCTTCCAACCCAGACAATTCTGTGATTCTGTGATTCTATGAACTTGCCCGGTGGTTCCTGTAACCTTACTCCCAGCTGGCAGCTGTCTCGGTGCATCCGTCTTATTTTGTGTTCAACCGAGATCAGAAAATTATCAGCAAGTATGCTGGAGGATGTCCTGGGTTTTGCGTGTAAATTCTCCTGCATTTGATTGCAATATTTGGATGTTTGAACCCTCTGAGATACCCCCGCTTACTCTGCGTCCCCCCCGGGGGATGGCAGGCAGCGGTGGGTGGCTGCAGAGGGAGCTGAGCAGGGGCAGGGCGGCCGTAATCTGTGGGGCCCTTCTCCTCCACGAGGCCGGCGATAACAATTGGGGCAAGAGAAGGTGTCACTGAGGGGGGAGAGTTGGCTGAGGGTGATTAAAGAGCAGTCGTGTTATCACAGCAGAGCATTCCTCCCGCCCCAGCCCTGGGCAGCCACGTTAAAACTTCCCGGCGTGACTGCTTCAAGACAGAATTTTCCTTTCTTAACTAATAAATATTTATTGTAAATAAATACCTCTCGTATACACATATTTCTCATTTCCAGCTCTTGGAGGCTGGGGTTTAGTTAAAGTAAACTGCTGCAAGCTGGTAGGAAATTAGAGAATAAAGCCAGGATTTAGATTCCACTTTTAAGATCTCCAAAACGTGACACAGCCAAATTTTGTCAGAGTAAGAGCAGATGAAATGTGCCTTATTCTTTCCCTTATCCCCAGGAATTCCCTTCCAGGGGGAGGCCATCCCTGTGCAGAGCGCAGGCCTGTGGGGAAAGCTATCCCTGATCTCACCACGGTGCCTTTCAGCTGGTCACGGTCAGGGTTGACAGAAATTATAATCCCACTTTTCTAACGAGCAAACAAGCCTCTTGCTCTCTTCTGCCCTTTGAAATGAGAAACTGGCAGCCTGCTTTTGGAGCAGGATTGAGAAAGACCTACGTTAATACTGAAAACCACCTTTGGTGTCACCTTTGGTGACATTACACAGGTTCATGGCAAATATTCAGCATCTGTACATGGGTGGACATTCTGCCAGGGGGTTATGAATCATAACTATGAGCAGCAGCAGCAAGAGAGCAAGGCAGATCTGGTGAGGGTTTCCAGAGGACTCTTCATCATGGGTCCTGTGACGAGGGGAACACCAGCGAGCATGTTGTCCAACTCCTGGTGTCCCTCAGGCCAGGACCTCTTTGTCTCACTACCAGCTGGAGCACCGGGATGGAGGAACTTGGCTGAGAGGTCCCTGCAAGGACAGAGACCATCACTCTCCACCTTACATTGCAGCATGTGGCCATGGATCACACTTCTCTCACCAGGCATGTTCCTGAGGAGCAGGAACATCCCCAGTGCAGCTGTCCCCAGCGCAGCCCTGATCCTGGGCAGGTGATGAGCTCCTTCTATCAAACCACTGTCATCTTTTGTCTGCTCTGGCTTTTGTGATGGTGCAAAAGTACTCTCAGAAAATAAATTAAAATCCCATAAAGATTTCAGCAATGACCAACCCTCCTGTGTGGTCATCACTCTGACCCTCATGTCTACACAGACCTTAATCTTACAGTCGTGGAGGATCAATGTTCAGGGTTAATAGTAGGCAGCAAAATAGGATGGAGTCTTGATGGTCTCTGCCTTATCCCCGGGTACATCTGGGTCACCGTCGCTTCCCTCATGCGTTGATTGAGTGACCTCTGATTAAAAGCAATCTCACAGAGGAGAGCTTGGAGCGCAGCCATGCAGCGAGCAACGTATAAGAGGCAGCACTTTGGGGAGGAGACAAGAACATTATATAAATGTACATTTAACATATTTATTTTCATCGCAAAAGGCAAGTTTTCTAAAATGTGTGTAGCAAGGGATGATGAATACAGGCTCCCTTGATACCCACATACATTTAAGCTGTATAAACTGAATATTGCCTTTTCCGGTGGCCTGACTGCGGGACTGTCCATCCCATCAGGGGCACTTTTAATGGGAGACTGCTCTGCACAGCCTCTGTGCAGTTAGCTCTGGCATTTCAGGGGACATGTGTGGTATTTATCAAAGGGAAGATATACAAAGAGCACTCTGATAATATCCCTTATTATAAAGCCATTGCCTTCACTGGGTCTCAGGTGACTCCCCTCTTGTGTCCCCTGTTAAAGTGAGGTACCGAGAGAAGTGCATTGCCCAGCCAGCCAGTGGGCAGGAGGGCTGGGGAGGGAGCTATGGTACTGAACACGATCTTAATGAAATCCCAGCTAAGGTGGTGGCCTCCTCAGAGGGGGTGAAGATCACCAAACCCAGCCAGGCTTGAAGACCAAGAAGCATCAGGTGCTTTGTGCCTGCCCTTTGGGAAAGCCCAAGGCTTCTCTGGCTTCATCAGGCAGGTCACATGCAGAGAGGTTTGAATTCAGAGCCCAGTGCAAAGCCCAAGGAGTGGGTCAGAGCCCTTCTGCGAGTGACACTGCAGCCACCAGAACAGTGGGGACACGAGAGGATACAGCAGCCACAGTCTGACCCTGTCCCTATTACTTCTCTAGCACCACCGGTTCATTCCCATCTGACCCAAGGACACAGTGGCAGCGGCAGAGCCACGGCCTCAGGAGTGTATCAGCTCCTCTGGGCTATAAAGTCTACCCAGAGAGACCTATCACCATGTGAAGGCACAGAAGAAGACCCCACCATCAGCACAGCACACATGAAAGCCTAGCTCCCACCCAAACCCCAACTCCTGCCGGCAATGGGGTTGCCCTGCGTGGCAGCGTGGCACAGCACCCTGTGACTCCCAAGAGGAGCTCCAAGCTTGGTGCCTGCTCCTGTGGGACACTTAGTGGGGCTGGGTGGTGTGATTGCACTGGCATTGCTATTTTTGTGCAGATAACAAGCTGGACGTACTGCAATGCACGCACGAGCCAAGTACCATTAGATCCCTAGAAGGACTTTCCTCTCAGCAGGACAAGCATGTCTGGGGAGCATCCTCTGCAGCAGTCAGCAGCGTTGCTGTGAAACGCAGGCACGTCTTGGCGAGGAATCTGGCTTATACATATCAACCTCCTCCGCACAAGCGTGCGAGGCTCTTTGGGCAGGGGACACTATCTGCCCTCTCTGGCTGTACCTGCCAGCTTTCCGTGCACGGCTGCCAGCACCCAGCAGTGATGTGTGCGGCTGATGCAGTTTATCTGGGTGGCAGAGAGATTTACCTCTGCTTCGTGTGCTGGCAGGAGACTCATTCCCCGAGGTTCAGCAGCGACCATCTCCAGTAGGGTATTTCTTTGACATTTTGCCCACTTATCTGTGATAACAGACTTTTGTTGGTTCTTCCCTTGGCTTGTTTGGTCCTTCACCCATCAAGTGTGCCCATGCCCTGAAGCTGCAAGACATCTATCCTGGGACCAGGCTTTCCTGCGTGCGTCCAGCATGTGGCACACGCCAGCACTGGCTGTGGTGCTGAGAGTTATTTTACACACAAGGGGTAATTAACAGTAAGATCACACAGCTAGAAATCAAAGAGGTACCATATGAGGCATTTAGTGATGAAAAAAAGGGTCTGACTGGGCTTACTCACACACTCCTTCTTTTCTCTAGGACCTTACTCAATTTCATAAGCCACCTCTCCCTGTATCTGTAGGAATCATTACTATTGCTGCCATGATAAATAATATCAATTGTGGGCTGTGTTCCTAATCCTTTGCCAGAGGCTGGCAAAGTGAAGTCCTGGCAGCATTGAAGCAAATGGCAAAATCTCCGCTGATTCATACAAAATCAGGGTCTCACTCCCCCTCTGAACTCTACAGCACGTCTCCCAGCCTGTCTCCAGCACTACTTAGGAATCATTTTATATGAAATACCGTGCCACGTGGAAACCAGATATACTGGAAGTGCATCATGTGGCACAGAAAGGCCCAGTCTTGTGTTCTCCTCTGGGAAGCAAGGCAGAAAATGCAGATTTTTCTCCAAGCTCCTTAGTGTGCCTGACGTGCATATGCTCCTCAGCCTAAGGATGTGTCCTAACGCTCCGTTGCTGGAATTTTCCAGCATTATCTGTCTGTTCACGTATCAATATGTGTCCAGACAATTTCTTTGGGCCACACAGCCATTACGTTAAGAAGCAAGAAGCTGATAACGCCAGCAAGCAATGAGGCCAGTGTGCTGACCCTTGCCGAAATAGGAGATAAGAGTCTCCCACCTCCATGGGTGGACCTCTGGAGTGACCAATGAGCGTGGACAGACGCCAAGGTCTGCTCCCCCCTTCCTCTTTATAAGCAGGGCCATCAGGGTGATGAGTCCAAACCTGCTCTGAGCGTTCACTGCGAGGAGCCTCAGCCTTCACCCTCCTGCACGATGACGCTGACTCAAGCTGAGAAGGCCGCCGTGGTCGCCATCTGGGCAAAGGTGGCTACCCAAGCCGATGCCATCGGAGCAGAATCACTGGAGAGGTAAGACCCCCAGAAGCCCTCCGAAGAGGGTGCCTCCTCTGGCTTTGCTGTCAGGATGCACCTCATGTAAAACTGGCACGAGTGAGAGCAGTCTGGGACTGGTGAGAGTTGATGGATGACCTCTGTGTATGTCCTTTTCTGGAATTATATCTGTGCTACTAAATGCTAATAGATGGCTTCAAGATCTTACAGCAAAACATAATTTTCTAAGCAATTCTAATGCTTTATTACCCGTTATAGCAATTCAGAAGAACTCATAGCCAGGAGCCCTGGTGAGGAATTCAAAGTCATTCGTACTCGGTGTCCTGAAATAGGGTTATCACTCTTGGGAAATGAACTCAAAGTGGTTTGTTGTAGAAGTGATGCAATTTCTGTATAAGTGTTGTGCTTTCTCTTGCAATTTCTAGGCATTAAGAGAAGAGCTGTCCACTAAATTCACTGGGTATGCTTCATTGTTCCAGTTGATAAGTACCAAACTGTTAGGAAATGAGACAACTGGACCCCCTGTTGAAGTATAGCACAGTAACCCAAAGTTCATACAAATTAAGCAAGTTGGTACAAAAGGGGTAATAGCCTGGAAATCGTGCAGAAATTATGATGTTATTTAAATGTTATTTACAAGCTCAATATAAAGTATTGCGATATTCCTTCCAGGACTCTGAATACCACCCATATCAATTCTGGTTCATTTCAGCTCGTATTAGCTTGAAGATCCTGCAAACTGGCTTACAATAGGAAATGTAGGGACAATTTGGGGCTATTATTGATTTTAAAATACTCTCCCCCCCAAAAACCCAAAATACATTAAGTTATAAATTCTTTTTAACATTTCATTCTTCTCTAATACTTACAGATTAGCCCACTGTCTAATTTGCATGTACTGCAGAAGAGGTTTAAGAGCAGAAAGACCTTCTTAATGGAGGCTTAGAGATCCCAAAGCTCTGTCACGATGGCTGAAGGGGTGCACTTCTGCAGCTGGCGGGTTTACCCTGCACCAGCTCTGGGGTTTTACCATCTCACACATGTCGCTTCCACTGCTGTACCTTATTCTCCTGTTCTCCTCCAGGCTTTTCTCCAGCTACCCCCAGACGAAAACCTACTTCCCTCACTTCGATCTGAGCCAAGGCTCGGCTCAGCTTCGTGGTCACGGCTCCAAGGTCATGAACGCCATTGGGGAGGCTGTGAAGAACATTGATGACATTAGAGGCGCCTTGGCCAGGCTCAGTGAGCTGCACGCTTACATCCTTAGGGTGGACCCAGTGAACTTCAAGGTGAGTGAGCACAAAGGCTTTCAGGGATGGAAACTGCCCCCACAGATTTAGTGGCCACACATCATTTTGGCTAATGGCAGCTTGATCAGACTTGCCAATTTGCGTCGCTGCTTGTTCTCCACCTGATTTTAACCTGAGGCTGGACCTTTAAATGAAAGATTTGGTCTAGTCCAAGCAACGAACTACTCTGGGGGGCTCCTATGGTTTGTGTAGACACACCTGAGTCTCTGCTGCCTTTGTTGTAGTTTATGAACCTCCTTCGCAAGTCAAGTTATATCACCCATCTTGAACAAAGTAAATTCTAAACATTCCCACTTTGTTGCACTTCCCTTTGGGGAGGAAGTAAGGGACATTTGGAAAGAGGGAGAAATATTGACCCCCTAGACTGACATCTGTTACTGATTGCGATGGGTTTCATCCTGGTTTCCCTTACAGCTGCTTTCCCACTGTATCCTGTGCTCCGTGGCTGCCCGCTATCCCAGTGACTTCACCCCAGAAGCTCACGCTGCGTGGGACAAGTTCCTGTCCAGTGTTTCCTCTGTTCTGACTGAGAAGTACAGATAAATGGCCTCCACAGAGGGTGAGGGACGCACGTCCATGGTGCACCCCATTTGCCAGGCCCCAGGGTATTCACCCCTTCCTACGCCGTCCTCTCAAATCCCCTACGCAGGGGCTCGGTCATCTGCAAAACCCAATAAATAATTCAAATGTAAGATACAGTCTCTGTGCTTTCATCTCAGTGTTCCATCCACACCTTACTGTTCAGGCAGGGGTGTTCTGAAATATCTGCACAATATGGAGGGGGAAATATTAAGATATGTAAACTCATGTACTAATCCATGTACTAATGAATTCATTTCTTCACTGTGGTGGAGGGTGGTGGAGCACTGGAACAGGTTGCCCAGGGAGGTGGTTGAGGCCCCATCCCTGGAAATATTCAAGGAGAGGCTCGACGAGGCCCTGGGCAACCTGGTCTAGTTGGGGGTGTCCCTAATGACTGCGGGGAGGTTGGACTAGATGACCTTTGGAGGTCCCTTCCAGCCTGGGCAATTCTATGAGTCTATGATTCTATGATTCTATGTACTAATTCATGTGCTAAGATGTGTAAATTCAGACAGAATAACATAATATTCAGTGGCTATAACATAACTTTGAGCAGAAGCCCAGAACAGGTTAGAGCCCTGTGACTGCTACTGCTTACCAAAGGTATATCCACCAAAGACTGTTTCCAGGTTGACCTGGATATTGAAAGGACCCAGGCTTTTTGTTTGGCCTATCCAGAACTCACCACAGCCTGTTGTGAGCAAAACCTGCATTGCCATATGTTGTGATGTGCCCAGAATGATGCTGGGCAGTGTCTTCTCATGTTCCTCTCCAAGGGCTATGGAGAAGGTATCTGAAGTGCTTCATGAACACCTGGGGCTGTCACACCTGCTAGACAGGTTTGGTAAAGGGACCATCCCCTCAGCTTCACATCTTTTATTTTTATATAGGGAACTTTACATGCATTTGAAATTTGGGAATACTAGTGGCCACTGGAGATCAGTGTTGATGGCATCTTGGGGACCACAAATTCACAGGATTTCTCTGGAAAGCAGTGACAGGGAAGAGTACGGAACTGATGATCACCCTGGGGGGAGCACAGGGATCCTCCATATGTACCTGTTGTGGGTTTAACCCCAGTGGACAGCTAAGCACTGCAGAATCCCCCTCAATGGGATGAGGGGAAGAGGAAAGGAAGAATAAAAGCAAGAAAACTTGGGGATCAAGATCAAACAAACAGAAATAATTGTTTAATAATTGAAAGATAAGTGGAAGAGGAGGGAAGAAAACAAAACAAGTGATGCAAAGACAATCACGCACCACCTCCTGCGGGTAGACTGATGCCCAGCCAGTTCCTGAGAAAAAAAGATGGGTAACCCCCCTAAAAACCCTTCTTTTCCCCTTTATTGCTGAGCGTGGCATTATATGGTATGAAATACTTCTTTGGTTAGTTGGGGTCATCTACCTGGTTGCGTCTCCTCCTGGCGTATCATACACCCCAAAATCTGTTCCCTGGAGGGCAGAGTGAGAAGCAGAGATGATGCACTACATTTAAATCCACAGCTTAGATGGTAGGTCAGCATCTGGAATGTCCCTAACCCAAAATTTGCATCAATAACTTCGTACAGAGGCTGAGTGAAGGATGTGACAGTCTCGAACCACCATATGCCCTGCAGATTGTCCCAACATTTATGGAGTGGCAGGAGCACACGCTGGGGTGGGAAGAAGGGAAGAAGCCCAGGCCTGACAAGCATCACGGGACAGACTTTGGGAAGACCATGCACCCAAAAAGGAGGTTCTTCTCCATCCAGATTTCTCCAGGCATCTGGAGAGATGGTGTTTCCCACGTTTAATCCCCAGTGCCACCTGAGAGGACTCATCCATGGCTCCTGCTCAGAGGTCCATGGGTTTTTTTAAGCAGAGAGGAGTTGGATGCACCAGAGTCTGGAGGACATGAGGGACACAGGGACACATGTGGGATGCACACGGGAGCCAGGGAGGACCAAGACCTGGAGGGGATGATGCATCCCAACAGGAGACCTAAGGACACGCCGGTCAGTGAGGCCAAGGTTGTGGCATCCATGGGACATGCTGGTGGCTGCTATTGACCATGGGGTGCCCCCAGCCCCCAGCCTTGTGTGGGGCTGCTGCAGTGGGGCAGGACAGGGCAGACGGGCCCCCTTGGGGCCTCCTCGGGGCTGGGCCCCCCAGGGAAGCTGGGGCCCCCCAGGGCAATGCCGCAGCCGCTCCCTAGGCCTGGTACCGGCGGCCGCGGCCCCGCCGCCCCTCAGCGCCGATAAGATAAGGCGGGGGTGGAGGTGCTGGCTGCTATAAGAGGGTGTCCCCGCAGATGCTGCTGCTACCGAGTCCTGCCCACCCCTGCCACCAGCCGCCACCATGCTGACCGCCGACGACAAGAAGCTGATCCTGCAGATCTGGGAGAAGGTGCTCGGCCACCAGGAGGACTTTGGAGCCGAGGCCCTGGAGAGGTGTGGGCCGGGCCCGGGGACCCCACGGGTGATGGGGGCGAGAGGGTGGGAGCACCATGGAGGGGGCCTGGTGTGGGGGGACCCGGCTGGGGGTCGGCGGCACTGACCCTCCCGTTCCGGCAGGATGTTCATCACCTACCCCCAGACCAAGACCTACTTCCCCCACTTTGACCTGTCACACGGCTCTGACCAGATCCGCGGCCATGGCAAGAAGGTGGTGACCGCCTTGGGCAACGCCGTCAAGAACATGGACAACCTCAGCCAGGCCCTGTCCGAGCTCAGCAACCTGCATGCCTACAACCTGCGTGTCGACCCCGTCAACTTCAAGGCAGGCGGGGGACGGGGGACAGGGACTGGGGGATGGGGGAGAGGGGACGGGGAGTGGGGGACAGGGATGGGGGGGCCAAGGGGGTTGTAGCAGTGGTGCTGAGCCCTGTTTTTTCCTTGCAGCTGCTGTCGCAGTGCTTGCAGGTGGTGCTGGCCGTGCACCTGGGCAAAGACTACAGCCCCGAGGTGCACTCCGCCTTTGACAAGTTCCTGTCGGCCGTGGCCGCCGTGCTGGCTGAGAAGTACAGATGAGCTGCCGCCCGCGCCCCAGTGCCATCAATAAAGACACCTTTGCCACAGCACCGTGTCCGTCTGTGCCGGGGTGGGGGGGACCGGGGTGGGCTGGGGTGTTGCGGTGCTCCCGAGGGAGCCAGGGAGGGAGCTGGCGGTGAGGCCGGCCGTGGTGCAGGTGGGCAGCACTGGCCATGGGCTCCCTGGATGGCCCTCTGAGGGTCCTGCCTGCTTCCACCCCCCCAGCTTGGGATGCGGACGATGCTGGTAGCAGGACCCAGGGAATGGAGCTCGGCCTGTTGCCCTTCCCTGTCTGCATCCCTCTGGGAGCTGGGCGAAGGATGCACCATGCCAAATGTGGTTCTTGCATCCCCTTGAAGGATTCTCCAGGTGAGGGTAGGATTAATCCCTCCTTGCTCCATCTATCACGGTGGTTGTTTAGGACTTTATTGGGGATGCTGTGGGAGCTCAGTGCCTGTGTGAGCTCCAAAAGCAGCCAGACAAGTTCATGGAGTGAAGAAAAATCCACTGCAGACCATGAAGCACAAACACTGTTCTTGGGTTCAAGCCCCTGAGCCACAAATCCCCGTCAGGGATTGCCAGGGAAGTGCCCCCACTCCTGCCCTGGGTGTCTGTGCTTCCCCTGGCAATGGGACAGGGTGGGAGCAGAGTGGGCAGAGCCACAGTATGGCACAGGGCCACCAGTTTCAGGGACTGGGGGCCTAATTTAAAAAACAACAACACTGTCTTTGGATCACAGGTGATGGGTTATGAGATACTGCTGAACTAGCCTGGGGTTTGCTCTGTGCTGTTGCACCAAAGGGAGGAGGAGAGCATTCATGAGGGATGGGACATGGTGTGCCAGGAGAGCGAGTGCAGGCAGCAACCGGGTGCTGGGGATGTGGGGTCCCTGCCTGCACCGAAACACAGGGCTGGGGGTCCCCACCTGCACAGAAACACGAGGCTGGGGGTCCCTGCCTGCACAGAAACACAGGGCTGGGGGTCCCTGCCTGCACAGAAACACAGGGCTGGGGGTCCCCACCTGCACAGAAACACGAGGCTGGGGGTCCCTGCCTGCACAGAAACACAGGGCTGGGGGTCCCTGCCTGCACAGAAACACAGGGCTGGGGGTCCCCACCTGCACCAAAACACAGGGCTGGGGGTCCCCACCTGCACAGAAACACGAGGCTGGGGGTCCCCACCTGCACCAAAACACAGGGCTGGGGGTCCCCACCTGCACAGAAACACAGGGCTGGGGGTCCCCACCTGCACAGAAACACAGGGCTAGGGGTCCCCAGGCCACCTTGGCCCTTACTCCTGCAAGCATACTCATGAACCCACAGCACTTTTCCTCCACCCTCAGGCACATCCCAGTCAACACCCCAGTGTCCTCATGTGCGTTAACACCCATTTATTCTTGTGCCACCAGTTTGAAGGGTTCTTCTGCCCCCTCGATGCAGGTGAAGGCAGACATACCACCCCACTGCTGGTTCCCTGGGCTCCACTTCCCAGAAGAGCAGCTCCCCCACCCACCAGCCATGGAGGAAACACGGGTGTGAACTGTCCCCTGCCTGCCTGCCCCAGCCCTCGAACCTACTGGAAGCACCGCAGGCCCCCTCACCCTCTTCATCTTCCTCACCATCCTCATCTTCACCTTCTTGCCTTCCTAGCCTTCATCATTTGGGGCACATGGGGCTCGCCATGGGTCCTGCCTGTCTTCCTTCCTTCCCTGAGCTCCTACTGCTGTGGGCAGTGCTTCCATCAGTGCTGATCCCTGTGACTCTGCCAAGTGTCCCCGCTTCCCAGGGGTCATGGTCACCCGGTCCCCCCGCAGCACTGGGGCCAGCCCCGTGTCTGTGGGGCAGGGCAGCTCTGGGGTCTGTACGCAAAGGGATGTGACTGCGGTTTGGGGAGCAGGGGGTGAGGAGGACACACGCTTTGGGGTGCACGGGTTTGGGGTGCTCTGAGGGAACCAGAGCAGAAGGTGCAGGGGGGCAGCGCGGGTGAGTGGCTGTGTACAGGGACCATGTTGGATGGCAGGGTGTGTGTAGGGGCAGCGTGTTTGTGTACAAGGATTGCCCAGAGAAGCTGTGGCTGCCCCGTCCCTGGAGGGGTTCAAGGCACTCTGCCAAGTGTCCCCGCTTCCCAGGGGTCATGGTCACCCGGTCCCCCCGCAGCACTGGGGCCAGCCCCGTGTCTGTGGGGCAGGGCAGCTCTGGGGTCTGTACGCAAAGGGATGTGACTGCGGTTTGGGGAGCAGGGGGTGAGGAGGACACACGCTTTGGGGTGCACGGGTTTGGGGTGCTCTGAGGGAACCAGAGCAGAAGGTGCAGGGGGGCAGCGCGGGTGAGTGGCTGTGTACAGGGACCATGTTGGATGGCAGGGTGTGTGTAGGGGCAGCGTGTTTGTGTACAAGGATTGCCCAGAGAAGCTGTGGCTGCCCCGTCCCTGGAGGGGTTCAAGGCCAGGCTGGATGGGGCAACCTGGTCAAGTGGGAGGTATCCCTGCCCATGGGATTGGAATGAGATGATCTTTAAGGTCCTTTCCAACTCAAAGCATTCTGTGATTCCATAGGGATGGTGTCTGTCCCCATGTCTGTGGGGCAGGGCAGCTCTGGGGTCTGTACGCAAAGGGATGTGACTGCAGTTCGGGGAGCAGGGGGTGAGAAGGACACAGGCTTTGGGGTGCACCGGTTAGGGGTGCTCTGAGGGAACCAGAGCAGGAGGTGCAGGGGGGCAGCGCGGGTGAGTGGCTGTGTACAGGGACCATGTTGGATGGGGCAGCGTGTTTGTGTACAAGGGTTGCCCAGAGAAGCTGTGGCTGCCCCGTCCCTGGAGGGGTTCAAGGCCAGGCTGGATGGGGCAACCTGGTCAAGTGGGAGGTATCCCTGCCCATGGGATTGGAATGAGATGATCTTTAAGGTCCTTTCCAACTCAAAGCATTCTGTGATTCCATAGGGATGGTGTCCGTGTAGGAGCCATGCGACACGGCAGTGCCTGTAGCAGGGCAGTTGAGGTGTGTGTGTGTAGGCTGTGTTGGATGGGTCACTACGTGCAGGTGCCCGTGGGGCTGCATGAGGGTGTTGGGAACACTGGGCAGGCTGCCTGAGGGGCACAGACTCCCACCATGCTATTGACCCCACAACCCCCATGTCCTGCCAGAACACACACAGGCTCTGGGGGGACCCAGGTCTCAGGGGGACCTCAGCCAGTGCCCCCACACCGAGCCCTGAACCCATCCTGTGCCGGGAGGGGACACACACAGACTCCTCCAGTGCAGACCCCAACCTGGACCCACACCAGTGCAGACCCCAAACCTAAACCTACACCTGAACCTTGACCCTCACCCTAAGCCTAACCCCGCAGCCATCCCTTGCCAGAGGGGATGGACCGCCCCGCCTGCGCTGATGCCAGCCCTAACCCTAATCCTGGCCCAAATCCCGGCTGCTGTCGGGGGGGCAGTGACCCCCCCAGCCGGTGCGGGTGCCGGTGCGGTGGGG